CACATGTAAGTGAGCTTGGGGTGGAAGATCCTTGAGGACCCCTTGTCTTACTGAGATTTCTGTTTAGAGATCTCACCCCACGTTTGGGGCACATATTTCAGATTCAGGTAACTCTGGGGTTGAAACCTCGGGTGGCAAGAGGCCGGAGCTGAGTTAGCTGATATTGCTGTTTATCTGATTAAATGCTGGATGCTGATATGCCATCCTATGATTATGTTTTATTATGTTTTTGCTGTTGCGACTATGTTGGGCTTGTATGCCTTATTTGGTGAGCATGAGGATTGTACATGCCACATTGACTTGACTTTCTTTAGGTTAGCTTGGAGTTGTTTAAATTATCAGGATATTCTCCGGACTACGTGTTGTAGATCCGTGAGTAGAAACTCATCTATTTCTATGATACAAGGTTATTCAGTGTAGGTAGTGTCTTTTGCAATATCATACGGGCGATGTTTTTATAAAAATGATTAAGTAATCAACTTGGCTAAGTATAATGACATCATAATTGAAAAGAAAAAGATATTCCGCATTTTTAAATTAAGCGTGGCTTAATACGATAATATGTTAACAAATCGGGTTAACACGGGGTGTTACATAAGGGCTCAAACTTTTTAGTAATGTGAGTCATTGGATACAAGTAGATCAATGGTCAAGATTAAGTGTAAGACTTTTAACTCTTACACAGGTGTAAGAATATCTTGCCTCATATATATATATATATATGGTAAAATCATTTTTGTATCTGCTTTACGTACAACAACAACATGTGTATGATTATGATTCCCACATTTAATGCTTTTATCTTTTGTATGGTTATGATTCCCAACATTTAATGTTTTCATGTATATATATGGCAAGTATTTAATTGTTGCACGTACAGCAGCTGCAGAAATGTATACCTATATATATATATAAATAAATATATATACGGGGATGAGATCCTTTGACACTGTTGTCAAAATTTGAAAGTTGACACCAAATCCTATCCGTTGATTTTCGTCAATCAATGATTATTATTTATTGGAAATTAATATTAATTAATATGATTGATTCTCAATAAATGATAACAGTTGATTGACACTGTATATTTTTCTGTCACATAGGATAAAGTTATCTTCTGTAATTCCAAAATTACGCCATTTTGAGGGTTGAAAGAATTAATAAATGATATTTTGCTAATTCTGATAATTTCTTTATTTTTATTTTGGTAATATTCCTTGTTAATTTTCCTAACCCTCAAAGTTATATAATTTTGAATTACATGAAATAACTTTATCTCCTATTATTACAAGATAAAGAGAAACGATAAACCCGTGATTTTAGTGGCAAATCCAAAATAATGGCCTCCCTTTCAGCGATATAATTAATAGACTAAACACCAATCAAACAGACAAAACCTCATCTTTATCTGGCTGTCCCTGGAGTGTTCCTCTAGTTACTGCAAAATCCTATTAAACGGGGTTTTATAATTAGCGCACAATCTTTAGATGATTTGATCACGCAAGAAAGATACAATTAATTGACCAATTCTAAAATGACAACGTTTTTCCAATGTTGTATCCTACGAACTCTTGTTCCCTAACATTGCCGTAATTAAATTAACAATATGACCAAAGTTCATCACTCAATCTAAAGGACCCAGCAGAGATTTTCAAAACCAGCACCAAAGCAGAAGTGAATTGAAATCATTAATGCTTTATTAGCTACAAATTCATGAACCTTTACCCCCATTATTTTATTTATTGAATAAAGTTCTAAAATATGTGTGCCACACAATCTAATGTTAGCATCTTGTAATTGGCTATATAACTATATTCAACTCAATTAAAATAAGGGTGTTTGCCACACCTTATGGGACCCAAAACCTGGAAGCTGCACAAGGAGAATTAGCCACTTGTTGGTGTTAAGGGTTTCATGCTACACGTGTTAAACTTAGTGTTGCACAAACGAAAAGATTTGTTGCACAAGGACCCACAAACACCATTATAATGCCTAAAGTTACGCAGACTTTCGTAAATGATTGCTTGGCTTTCGGTTCTGTAATTTTGGTTTTTATTTGTCATTATTCAACTTTCCTGCGGATAAAGATACACCTAGCTAGACATCATCTATTACTAGTATTCTTATTTATCATTCAAGGATATCTTAAAAGTTCGTTTCATCGCACAAGTGTCTATGTAGATTATCAAATTCACACCCGTTCAGACATTTGGTTCAATCATACGTTAGTTTCACTTTCAGCACAGCTACAACTTCAAGATTATATAATTAGAACAAATTTTTAGCTAGGGAGTATTTCTATTTTCTTTTAAAACAGAAAATTGGGTTACATTGGATAATTATTTTCTCATCAAATCAGATTAGATTTGAATTTTATGTTCGTAAACTAAAATATTTGTAAAGAATCTCGGATACACCACCCAAAAACTAGCTCAAAGAGTGGGAGTGTTCAATGCCTTATAAAGGCCCAATAGTTGCCCACATAATCAATGTGAGACTATATATCTCAACACGCCCCCTCACGCAAGAGCCCTTTGGGCTAGAAACGTGGAATTGCACAAGCCCAATTTTTTGTTTACCTTTTTGTGCTTTTTTTTATTTTAATTCCACTTGAAAGTGGGGGGCCGTGACACCACTCCAAAAACTAGCTCAAAGGGTGGGAGTGCTCAAGACTTTATAAAGGCCACATTAATTGCTCACATAATCAAGGTTAGACTATATATCTCAACACGCCCCCTCACGCAAGAGCCCTTTGGGCTAGAAGCGTGGAATTGCACAGGCCCAATTTTTGGTTTACCTTTTTGTGTGCTTTTTATTTAAATTCCACTTTAAAGTGGGGGACAGTGAGACTCTGATACCATGTAAAGAACCTTGAGATACACCACCTCAAAAGCTAGCTCAAAAGGTGGGAGTGTCCAAGGCCTTATAAAGGCCACATTAGTTGCCCACATAATCTATGTGGAACTATATATCTCAACACGCCCCCTCACGCAAGAGCCCTTTGGGCTAAAAACGTGAAATTGCACACCTGAAGGTTCTTAACAATATTAAATGCTTATTAATTCCAACGAGTGTCTTATGGAAGTATTTATTTACATCATGGAAATGCTAAGGCAAAAAACTTTAAATTGACTTTTAAAAAAATAGTAGTGCTAAGACCGCATCTCTCTTGAAAAATTTGGTTTTCATATATCCTTGCTAGAGGTGGCAAAACGGGCCAACCCGCCCCGACCCGCCTTCAACCCGCCAAAAGCGGGGCGGGGCGGGTTGACCCGCCGTTTGATGGTGGGTTGGAAACATCAATCTACCCCGTTTTGAGGTGGGTTGGCGGGTTGGCGGGTCAACCCGCTTAAAAAACAAAAAATAATTAAAAATAATAATAAATTATAATTATTAATTTTATAATATTACTTATTTTTATTTCATATTTCCCTTAATTTTTTTCAATCTCAAGCCTAAATATACGCTAATATTCAGTCAAATATTTTTTAAAAACTTAATTTTGCCTCTATATATGGATAATCTTTGTCATAAGTAAAGTTTTTTTTCTTTATTTTTCTAGGGGAGTACTAAAATAAAAACAAAATGTATATCACAAAAGCTTAGTAACAAATAAAATACTACCTAATAGTAAAAAAAAAAAAAAAAAAAAAAAAACTAACCCGCGGGCCGACCCGACCTGACCCGCCACCAACCCATTTTAACCCACTACTAAACGGGGCGGGTTGAGGTGGGTTGGTGGGTTGAAAAGTGTAACCCAACCCGCCCCGTTTTGGCGGGTTGGCGGGTTGACCCGTCGGGTTAAACCCATATTGCCACCTCTAATCCTTGCTCAATTTTTAGACTTTTGCATATAAATTTACACAACAAAATCGTCATATTATATAAAGATAGAAAACAAAGACATCTTGCGAATTAGAGACATTTCAATAATAGACGAATTGATGTGAGATGAAAGAATCTCTAATGAAATACAAATATTAATATATATGCTTATCAATCTTTTCCAAGTAGAAGTTCTAGAGAATTCCTAAAGAGGTATATACTTTTCTATGAAGGTTGAGGGTATGGTCATCATAAATGCTTCTGTTTATTCTAATAAAGTCCATGAAATCGTAATGAAACAAGCAACTTAATCTCGACATAATAGCTTATAAAAATGACTTTTCTGCTTGCACTAAAAAAATGGGGTTTGATACTTTGTTGGCATGACTATGTTTGAGGAATTATTAAATTATAGTATTTATCAAATATACCTGATAATCATTAGAGCTGAATGAAGACTTCGAGGACACTTTGTTACGTGTTTGAACAATGCCATCTTATCATGACGTTTATGATATTTACTTTCGCTTTGTTTCCTTTCTTTTCATTTTCATGCATAATATTTTTTAACTTGCATAGCTATCATGTAAAATAATTGAGAGAAAACTGAGCCAAAAGATTACCTAAAACTTTGAGACCAAAATGTATCCTACCCATTTTGATTGCTAAACTCAGACCCTCGTATCGTATCTATTTTAAGCGTAATCAATGCTCTAATTGTACCTATAATATAATTTTTCTTCTCCTGTGAATCATGTTATTAAATACATCAAGTTATATATGTGGTTGTATTATCACATTCATCTCCGTGAATTTAGTGCATATATTTGTCGGCATAAATATCAGAACTGAAATCATTAAGATAATTTTATGTGGCATATACAATGTTGTTGGGTGAGAAAACTCCAAAAATAATCACGAAACCAAGATTCAACTCAAAACACATCATATAAGGTTTTAATTATTACAAATTAGGTGGCACATTTTAATTCAATATTTTATTTGATCATTATTCAAATTAATTAATGAGGGGAAAGAAAGCTTGCCACGAGATATGGGAGGGTATACTTGTACTTGTAGGGGATCAATCATTTGATACCTAATCATCAATCAAGCACATATATAAGCTCCATACCATTCATTTGGAACTCCCATCAAATCTCAATTTTATTATAATTAAACACTCTGATAAGCCTCAGCACAAGCTTTACACTACTACTGTCACTGCTCTAACCTCTATAGTATGGCGCCCAAACCACAGTACCTAGAGGAAGATTGTATGAAATACCACAAAACAAAAGATCATACTCATAAAGCAAAGAGTTTGTCCTTCTTTGCCTCTATCTTCTCCCTTTTCATTTACATCTCTATCTTCTATATCTTCGACCTCTCTCCCTATGCTCTCTTCAACAACAACATATTTTGGTTTTTCATGTCCAACACTCTCATCCTCATCATAGCTGCTGACTATGGAGCATTCTCTTCATCCAAACAGAAACAAGATCTCTATGAAGAGTATGCAAAGCATAGTCAAGCAAGAAACTATGTCTCTTCATATGTCCCCAAATATGATGAACAAGTTGATAAAAAAGGCATTAGTCCCAAACAAGAGCCAGATAGTGAGATGTTGCAGGAGAAGAAAGAAACTATATCTGATCATAATAATGATCAGATTATCCCTGAACGTGTACTTGAAATTGTGGAACAAAATCAACCAAAGAAACATAGTGAACGCTCCAATAAGAAAAAGCCAGTACTTCATGACTTGCAAGTAGATGATGATGGTTATAAAGAATTTGAGGAGAAAGAAACCCCTACAAGAATTTACCATCGAAGTAAATCTGATAGACTCAACAGAGCTAAGCATGTGGTGAATGAAGAGAGGATGTACTCAGTTCGAAGGTCAGAGACTATGAAAAAAGAAGCAAAAGTAGAAGAAGAAAATGAGTTTTCTACTATGACAAATGAGGATCTTAATAGGAGGGTGGAGGAGTTTATTCAGAAATTCAATAGGCAGATTAGACTTCAGGCAACTAGAAATGTCAATCAAATTTAGAAGTTCTTCAAGTGCTAGAATCCACAGGTTATTCCAAAAATTTTGCTGTCTTCTGCTTTTGTACTTGTTTAAATGTTGCATTTTGTTCATCAACGTGTTTTAGTTGGTGTATATAATGGAAGAAGTTCAGATCCTTTAAATATATATCATCTTTGGTTTGATTTTGGAATTTATGTATATGTATAAAAATTACTGTTGAGATTTTGGCCCCTAACCATATTTCAAAAAAAATTAAAATTTCACTACAAGAAATAAGAAGATTATATATACTCTAAGAAAACAAAAAGAAAATATAACATTATATATATTTTTTATTTTGGAGTTACCCAATACTAATTATCTTTTTAAGACGAATTGACTCCCTCTGATATCTCCTAATCCGGAGTGTGGAGCAAGACAGACATAAAGATATTTAAGCTCCTCCTAAAAATAACATGTGGGAATCGAACAGAGGCTCTTTTCATTTTCTTACTACCAAATGAGCTACCACGATTTGGTATCACATTATATATTCTATACATTAACTTAGTCTTATCTTTTCTCACGGTATGTAATCTATATTTCTCTGTTATTCCTCTTAGATTGTCCAACAATAATTATTAGTCCCGAAAACTGGAAAATTAAACTAAGAACCTTTTACAGAAATCAAAAAGAACCTTTTACAGAAATCAAATTGTGATCACAAATATTTGTTCTTAATTAAACTTATGACAGATGAACAATAATTAATCCGAAGGGGTGACACACTTGGTAGTGAATTGTCCTAAGGATTGGGTTTTGAGTTCGATCCTTGTAGACGAAGCTCTTTGGAGATTGAGGCAAAATCCTTGCGCTCTAAATCTCAATAGAGAATTAGTTTCATTCTTCCTCCGACGACAATTATTCAATATATATACCCTCTCATTCAATAAGGAATTAGTTCTAGGATACCTCCTATTATACTAAAAAAAATGAACAATAATTTATCATACTCAGAAATTATTATTAGTTAATTAACGCCGAAATGTTTTGCCGTTTATCTTTATTGTTTCTTCGTATAAAAGGTGAAAGCGATGCTTGAACGAACAATGTGTATGTACTGTGTACAGAGTGGGAGGGGGGCTTTTAAATAGGATTTGTTGGAATTATATTTACAATAATTAATGTGTTAGTATTACCAATAAAAATAAAATAAAAGGACATTAATACGGCTCCAACGGCCATGAAAAGAAATACGGCCACAAAGGTGTTCGTATGAGCTTAATAGCCACATGACTTTTTGTCTTAATAACTCTAATCAATTATTTGGGTTTGAATTTCTTCTTAATAGCATAGTTTTGATTATTGATTTTGACTACCATTTTTTTAAGGTTTATTTTGCTTGAACCGGAAAACCCTCATTTTTTATATTTTACTAGTACAGGTTTTGTCACTTCAATTATTAAAAAAAATTTGTGATTAATTTAGGTTATTAATTATGCAAATTATTAAATTAGTCTTTAACTTGTTACCCTTAAAAAGGGATAGAATATTATGTCTGCTTTTTTTTATATCTATTTTACCTACTCATCTTCAATATCATTGGATCAGAATCTCAAGAGAAGATAGAAAGAATGAGATTCTGCTCTAATAACATTGGAGATGAATATGTAAGATAGGTAAGAAAAAGATAGGTAAAATATCTTATTTTCATAAAAAAATGAGTTTAACTTAATTTTGATTTAAGAACTAATTTAATAACTTTTCTATAATTAAGAAATTAAATTAATAATATTTTACACTATTGAGATATTAAAATAATTTTTTAAAAATAAAATAATGAAATTTTGCATTATTAAGAGACTAAACTTTGACAACAAAAAATTCGATGATCAACATAATGACACTTGTATATTTTGAGAATGGAAATAGATATTTATTCTAATTCGTATCAAGATATTTATTGTAAATGTGATTTAAGATTGTGCCCGTATCTTTATTTCGGAAATATTTAATATGGTCGAGGACCATTGAATTTTTTGGTACTCCCTCTTATATTATTATTTTTTTTTTCATTTTATCTCTGTTATTTTTCTTCTTTTTCGATTTTACCCTCCTATTTATACTAAAAGACTACCTAAAAATGTTTTAGAATCTTTTTAGGTGACTTAAAAAGTAAGTAAAAGTTTATGCACGGTAAGCCATTATTTATAAAAGTTTAATTTTTATTTATTGCATTTAATATTTTAAATTTTAATATAATTATTATTATAGTTAATTTTTTTTAATACAGCAATAAGTAAAAGAAAAATTATAATATAGTTCACTAACACATTTTCATAAATCTAAAGATACAGTTGAAGTACACTGATATGAATTATGAAGTCGCCTAAATAACTATCTACACTTCAGATAAAAGTAAACAAAACTAAATAACTGCAATCATGAAAATCCAAGGAAAAGAAGGGTCTAAACCGTGACATTATCCTATGTCTTTGAGCTAGGACTAGGAGTAGGACCATGGAACAACACCACCTAGTTTTTGGTCCTTTTGTTTTGATTTGAACAGTTAGATTAGTGTGCTACAGAGGGAGCCATGGCACTGTTTTCTCTCCAAAGTAAGCTTTCCCCGTTGTCAGTGTTAACTAGGCCCTCCTCATCCTCAACAAAGAACCTTCCCTCTGTTACTGCCACTGTTACTAGGCGACGAGCCATAGTCTTTGGTTCCAACCTTGTAGTGGCTTCCTGGCTCAGTTTGGTTAATCTCTATTCAGCACCGCTTGCACTAGGTCAACAGCCACAAGATGATGAGCTTCAGGAAGAAGAAGACCACGTTGTGCACCTGTTTCAGGTCTCTTTTTTTATGACACCCCTTTTCTCCAATTTTCATAATTTTGCTAATATATCATTGCTTTAGTTTCATGTCTTGTGACGGGGTGAATTGAAACTGGAAATAAATTTGAAAGTTGTTAGCTTTTCTTCATGTATAGTTTCAACTTTGGCAATTGGGTTTTTGGGTTTTGATTTTTGAGTCATTCTTGCCCAGACTGTCTGTATTCATTATTCTTTACCTCGTTTCTGTACATTTTCTTCTTTATGCATAGCCAAGTTAGTAAAATTTAAGAAAATCATTACGTGGTTTAGAAGTTGTAATCAGAGTCCATTCTTTGTTAGAATTGATTTTCATTTTGTTGACTTAAAATCTTTTGTTATATTTGTTCTGTATAACATTATCAAATGATGATTTTTGTTCCTTTTCTTTTTAATTAAACTTGGGATTATCACAGGAAACTTCACCGTCGGTTGTTTTCATTAAAGACCTTGAATTGACTAAAGTCCCCAAGACCTCTTCTAATGAAGTCATGCTAAATGAGGATGAAGATGCAAAAGTGGAAGGCACTGGTTCAGGCTTCATTTGGGATAAATTTGGTCACATAGTAAGGGAATTTGTTCCTCCCAATTAGATTTGATTTTACTTGATTATCTTATTTTACATTTGACTGGTGGATCATTTTTTTTTTTAAATTTATGAGAGTAGTTATCTCATAGGGCAAAAATTATTATTTGCAAGATGTCACAATGCTGCTTTCAATTTAATGAAGATTGAAATATGGAAAACTGTTCAAAGAGTTTGATGTCCCTTCGGTCATCATCAAAATAATTGGACAGTGAATGACTAAATGTAAGGCATGTATGCATAATTTGACAAGATTTCTTGATAAGGAATTGCATACTCTGCCATGCCGTAGATATTGTCTTTGATATGCGCAGGTTACCAATTATTCAAACCAATCATTTGTTTTTTCTGGTGGACAGGTTACCAATTACCATGTTGTTGCTAAACTGGCTACTGATACAAGTGGTTTACAACGTTGTAAGGTTTTCCCTTATGCTATTAATTCCATCAAACTTCTTATTTTAGATGGGAAAAACATAATTCTGTTTGCCTGTATTTTCCATTATTTAGTTTACTAGCATTTATCTGAGTAGCACTAGTACTGCATACTCATACTCCTGTTTACAGGTGTTCCTAGTTGATGCCAAAGGGAATAGCTTTTGCAGGGAAGGGAAGATAATTGGATTTGATGCAGCATATGATCTAGCTGTTCTGAAGGTATACATTCTGATCCTCTTCTTTTTTCTTTTTTTCCTATTCTGAACATTTGATTTATTTTTTCACGCCTGTAGGATTCTTCTTTCCAATCCATTACCCATCTTCTGCATTGTAATTCTTGCTAGCATGATGAAGATGTTAGCATATGGTTGATTACTTGATTTATTGAACGAAATTTAGTTGTCATCAACTGCTTCAAATTCGCCTGAAATGATGTGTGACATGTCCTCATATTTGATATTTAAGCACCAGCGTTTCTGTTTTAAGTTGTTTTCCACCACAATCGCTATTATCGTCAAGTTCACCAAATTATTTTTCCCAAGTCCATGAGTATTTTGATTATAAGGTCATTTGAGACCACCATCAAAATGTGAAAGCTTAATCCTAAATCTGCTAGTTCAAAGTTTCTTTTGAGCATGTTGATATTGCCCAACAAACACTTAATTCCTCAGCTTGCCCACATTATTGTAGGCATCAATTTTTGCCATCTAAGGTTCTAAAAACTAACAAACAATCCAAATTGTTGTTCTTTACACTGATAGGCCTAGTAAGTGGATATTTATCTGGTACAAAAATGCTGACAGATATTCAAGGTGTAAAAGCCTACTGTTTTGCTCCAGTAAGAAAAAAGTGACTGTTTTTTATAATGAATTTTTTGCCAAGCCAACTGCCTTATTCCTACATGGCAACCAAGTATTCTAGCATCTTAGATATTTGCTATGATAGTCTAAAATGAAAATGGGTATGGGTGAAAGTGTTAGCAATGTTTATATGGTTAGTCTTTCAAGTCAAAGGATCTTATTATCACCAAAACAAAGATGACCTCGCTATCTTAGGAGGAAATAGGATCTGCCATTCTGTAAATTTCTATCTCTGAGTTATGAATGACAATGACAACAAATCATCCCTTCTTACAGTACTCAAGGTATATTCTGCTAGAGGCTAGTTAAAGTTAAAGACACTGAAGACTATTAGCTTGCCGATGACAAGATGTGTTACGAGTCATGAAGTATTTGTAAAGAAGTTAGGATGAAGATACACTTGTTTGGTCCTTTGTTAAAATTAATCAAGCTAGTGTGCACTGCAGAGGCTGATGTATAGTTATTTATAAGTGTTGTGAATTTGCTTCCTATCATGGTAAGTATAAATGACTTTGAAAAATCACACAAATGGAGGGCACACATTTTCATGGTTGCAATTTCTGAAAGTGATTGAAAGAATTAGTGGCATCAGTATGCTATTAGATTCTGCATTCTGCATGCAGTTGAGCTTGATATATCATCCTTAATCCCAACAATACAAAGGCATATCTGCATGTAGCATCTATTTATTGGCTTGTGATCTTAAGGTAGCTTGTATCAAATATCATCACATAGCCGGCCTTCTGCTTGTGCCTTCCATTCGTCAGAAAAAAAATTAAGATTTTCTAGTGAAAGGTAATATAATTAAGCCCCATTTGATGGCAGTTAAAACGTGGCATTTATTTATTTATTAGAGGGAAGTTGCCTAGTTGTAAAAAGAATTTTCATTGCTTATCATTTTACTACATAAGGTATTCTAAGTTACATTTAACTTCCACTTTATTCTCTCTCTCACTATAGGCCATTGTCAGAAATGCCTAACACTTGCTCTATTTGCAGGTTGATGTTGATGGATATGAAATAAAGCCTGTTGTTCTTGGTCAATCTAACAATTTACATGTTGGCCAGAGTTGCTTTGCCATTGGAAATCCTTATGGATATGAGAACACTCTCACAACTGGGGTAGTTTTTTTATTAATTTTGAATCTAACATTGTAGGATTTAAGGAGAAAGCCCCTGAATCTGCTATTATGAACTCTATCCCATCATGCAAAATTGCTGTAGCTGAAGGATGAAAACTCTTGGACAGAATTTCAAGAAATTATTTCTGTGTTATCTTATTTAAAGATCTTGTCATTATTGAAATTATAGGGATTTAGGAAGGGGAGGAGGAAAAGAGAGAATAAAAACTTTGAATAATATGATCTTGTGTATCAAGTGTTACAAAAGACAAAGAACTAAGCTCTATTTATATTAATAAAAAACTTCTAATCCTAATTAAATAAAGAAACAAATCATTTAATAGAAGAAAATGTGAAAACGAATACTAAGAGATCATCTAAAATAATCTAGAATATTTTAAGATGTAATCATGATATTATGAGATATCCTCTACATAATACATATTCTAACAGTCATGTCGAGCTGTAATTTCCCATATAGAACAAAATCTGTTGATTCTGCTTAACAATGCCTAATTGCTAGGCAATCAACATGTAACCATTACGAGCCACCTAACATAGGTTAAGTATTCTGATGTACCAAAAAATATAATGTGACCATTGCATATTGTCTAAATTACGCAGGTGGTCAGTGGTTTAGGCCGCGAGATACCTTCACCAATTGGAGGGGCCATTAAAGGAGCTATTCAAACTGACGCAGCTATTAATGCAGGTAAGCTATACCCTTAATTGAGGTTCATTATGTTAGGACGTCAACCCCAAATATATGTTACCCCTTTTAAGTAAAAATTAAGGAAAGGCATTTATTTGGAGAAGCTATAGTTTTTCCCCTTACTCATTTTTTTCCCTTGTACTCTACAATTTATTGGGTATTGATTGAAACTAGGTAATATTAACATTTCAACACTTCTCATCATTATTGATATACTATGGTCTATCCATGTATTGTTGATTTGATTCTACCAGTTAGGCTAAATATAACTTCAGAGCTTCTACCATAGCAGCTGCCACAAAACTGGTTTTACTACCCAATGGTTCTGGGCTAATTTATAGAATTCTCCATATTACTTTGGATTTTAGTATTTTCCATACTTGCATTCTCATACGACAATGTAGGTATATGATCTTATGTGTGCACGGATGTGGCCAGGAAATTCAGGTGGACCATTAATTGACTCGTATGGCCACGTTATTGGAGTAAACACAGCTACCTTCACTAGGAAAGGTAATAAGATGATTCCTCATTTATTTTTATGAGTATTGTTAGAGGAATAATATAAACCATTAGAAGGCACTCACCCAACACGGGTTCCATCCTCATCGGGCCTGTGCATTATCCACCCTTCAAATCCAGTGGGCTCTCATGTGAGGGGATGTGTTAGAAGAATATAAAAATCATTAATGTAGTCTCACCTAACAGCTTAAGCTTTTGGTTTGAATTTGAATTGGTTATTTACAAGTATACTTCCAAAACATACGTATCCTTCGTTTAGTTCTATGGTGTGTATCAACGAGTCATTATGTTTCTTTGGGAAGCTTCGTAACCCACCGAACCTGCATACATCAATAATCTATTGAATATGATCAAATGGCTACACTTTAAATTTCAATCACTTTAACCTGAAAAAGAAATTCAATTGTTATTCCTTTTACTTTGACCAGCGTTATCAAACTAAAATAGAATACTTCGGACTACTGAATTATTAACTTCTGAGAATGCTTTTGCTCTTTTTGATGCATTTCAGGGACTGGAGTGTCATCTGGTGTTAACTTTGCAATTCCCATTCACACTGTTATCAGGAGTGTGCCTTACCTTATTGTCTACGGAACACCTTATAGTAATAGGTTCTAATTATGCATGTTACATTTGATAAACTTCAATTCTTGAGTAAAACTTTAGATAAACTATGAATATCATTTTTACATTCAAGTTGTACATGAGTTGAAAACAAGTATTCTAACTTTAACTTACTAGTACTTAATTTTTTTTCTTTCTAAAATTGTGTAAATTTTGTAACTTTGGTTTTCGCAGCAATGCTCATTTTCTGAGACAAGGAAGAAATTTTTTTAAAGACACAAAAAGGAACCTCATTACAGAATTATTGAACAAAATGTGAATTTGTTTAAAATTGTGATAATGTTACAAATTTACGCTTTGATTTTCTCTTACCTGAAAAGTGAGGGGAAAGGACCATGATCACCTACTTTCATTCTTCTTGAATTCTCTTATGGAGATTACACTTCTGACTTGATTTCAATCAGTAGATGTGGCGCATCCAATATCCAATATTTTGTTAAGGAATTAGGAACAAACATCAATATGAACTGGTTGTCCACTTTGTTTCTAGATTCCAACGCATTACAACTTATTGGAGCACATTTTCAATAATGTTTGAAGAATATCTACTCCCTTATCAAAAATGAAAAAAATAATATATGGGTAAAATTAATCTTAAAAATGTGGATAATGTAAATAAGTTTTTTTTTTGTCATATTTGAAAAATAATGTACCAAGTGCCTGATACTCATGCAGCAGGGAAAATACTTTTTATATATAGAAGATAGAGAAATGACAAACACACACGTGTATGCAAAATATTGTTGGAAACTTTGCTAATCTTATGTCCCATTAAGTTCATATAAAAAAAAAATATTATGCTTATTTTACATATTTTTCTCTAACAGTATTAGAGTATAATTTCAACCAATAGTAGGAGGAAAGAGAAAAAATGAATGTTGATTTAACGATGTTTGAGAAAAAGTAGATAAAATAGACATAAAAAAATAAATAAAAATAAAAAATACCTTTATCTCCTTCGTAAATTAAAAATACTTGAATCGAGATGAAATACTGAGTTAAGAGGAATTGAATAGATTTATGCAACTCCAAATAAGAGCATCAACTGAGCAATCATATTAAGATAGAAATATGGCAACTTCATATTCTCTTTTCTGACTTTAATTATAATGTTTGTATTTCCTACAAAGTAGAAAGAGAGAGAACACACGATATGTGAAGAAGTCAATTGTATTATGGTTGCAGAGTTAACCTCATAAGCTAACTAGTGAATTTGGGTTTAGCATCCCCTTTGGAGCTGAATCCTAGTTCTAGCAATTTGAAGTTTTGAACACAAATTAGTGAAAATATTAAAGGGAAGATATACAAAAAAAAATAGAGTAAAATAGTAGTTTTCGCAGTAGAAAGGGCAAGTTGGTGAATTTGGATCAGATGCAATAAATTTTTCTAAGAGTGATTCTTCCGTGCACAAGGAAAAAGATTATTTGTGTACTTTCCTTTAATGAATTGGTTACTTTCATGTAGTACCTGAATTGGTTAAGTCCACTTAGCTGCTAAGTTTCTTTACAGGCTCTCTTTAAGTCTGGTAATTGGAAACAGCCATGGGGTGCTTCTTATTCATGGAATCATGGTGAAGTAGAGGTTGGGGTGCCCCTGCCTTGGTTTACCACGTACTTCTTACTATATAGCTGCTAGAAAATGACCCATGTACGGAGCTTGTGCTTCTACCGTTCCTAACTGAAGTCACCTTGGTACCCAAGAAACAAAACCTCTGCTCCTTTTCAGTTAGTTTCTGAGATTTCTGGGGATACCAGGTTTGGCTAAACTTGAGTCTAATGAATTTTGATTTAAAAGAAGGAAGAAAACGGATGGATTGAATTTGATCAAGTATGAAACAGTTAATGGTTTCTGTTTGGATATTGATGATGCTTACTGATATTTGCTCAATGCCAAAGTTCTGCAACTGTAAGCATTGGGGCAGTTTTAACTTTACATTCGATCATAGGTAGAGATCCAAAGAAGGCCATGAAAATGGCCATTTCTGATGTCAATGCAGACCTAAAAGTTCTAAATGGTACCAAACTATAGTTGATAATGAAGGATGTAACAATTGCAGCGCCCTTTCTGGGATCCATTGGAGGTTCTAATGATTATCCTTGCTGAAACTTCATCTTTCGTATTTGAACGTTTTCAAGATAATTTTTCTAGCATCTGAAAAGTTTTCAAAAATGAACCAGGAACTTTTCCTAGTACTGATGCAAATTGCTACTAGCAAAATTCTTCTGACTATATCCAAGTACTTGCCGTCAATTACCAGTTTGGTCATAGTAAATTAATCTGTTACATTTGAATTAGTCAAAATAAGTCAAAAAAAAAAAAATTATACCTATTTACTAGCCTAAGCATTTCATCCGGCAAATAGTGTTGGAACTAAGAACGTGAGTTGCTTGTTTGGTTTTGAGTCAACACAATACCTTTGCAATAATGTTCAAGAATCCATCTAAATTGTTACACTTGGACTGGTGCATTTAAGTTAAAAGAAGAACAAAAATAAAAACAATACACCTTAGCCTTAAATTATCAATACAAGGTACAAACCAATAATGTTCTAGCTTTGCACCGCCGTCACGTTCCACCAGTGGTTGGATTTCTGCGGATAAATGGGCTTCCTTATGTGTGTATACCACATGGATCAGTAGAAAACCAGTTTTTCCTCCTTTCAAAGTTGTTTTATTTTTATTTATTTTTCCGACTTACAAGTTCTTGTTTTATATTCTTATACTCATTCTAGCGCTTGAGTCTTAATTATATTAAACTATCATTCTAGTATAAAAAAACAGAGCTATTATCAACCCAATAATGCCTTTAGTTTAATAAAGAACAGCTTTGGAATTTCCAAAGTTTCATGCAAACAATCAAATAGTACAAACAAACAAAACAAACACTTTGTCCCAACCTAAGTGTCTATGTTGCTCATACTTTACAAGCAATATCATCCCATGGATGCTTTTAGCTTAACTCTGAACAGCATTATGGAGGTACAGTAAACTACCCGGCAGTCGGCACTACTGGATTTTACTCCAAGAATGTCTTAAACAACCACAGAAAATTTAGGTTCCACACACATACGCATGCAATAAGTGAACTTTGGATTCAGAAAGAAAGTAAAATTAAAAAGCTCTGGACTTTTAGAACTAACATAAAAATATATTCACACATAAAGAAAGATAACAAATGGCTTTAGGCAGCCTCTTTTTCCTTGTAAAATCCAAATTCAACACATCAGCTGCAGAAGAAACTTCATCAAGTTTATGGGAGTCTTAAGCAGGCCTTCTAGTATTACTTGTACAGTTTCTTGTACAAAAAAGATGCCTACTTTACAGTTATCAAGCAAACTGGAGTTTATTCACCTTTTCTTCATTCTCAGTCCTTCTAATTTTAATTAAGGAAATTCACCTTTTCCTCATTTCCAAGTTACAAGGTTTACTCGTATCCCAATAAAATTTTAGTTGATATATCAAATTCAGAACCTCAATCACAGAAGAGGTAGCGTGAAGTTTAGGAACCATACAGCACAAGATTTGAAGAGAGGAGGTAACGGCAGGAATAAAGCAACAAAAAGATATAGAATCAGTGTAATGTCAGTAACATAATTTTATTTTTTTTGTTCCAAAATCCAATCAAATCTTTAACAAAAAACATTTTACACTCGTGGTAAACCACAATCCTTCTTTAATGATTGAAACCTAAGCAAGTGCCACAATACTATGTTTTAACACAACACAGGATTCATGAAACACTAAAATCTTCAATTCCATTGACAATTCATCAACAGAGCAAATGAAACCCAAAAGTACTCATTTTTCATGAAGTGATAGCAGAGACAATTGTTCATCTACAGAGCAATCCACATGACATGACGTGCGACAAGAAGAAGGAATAAGAATAAGACCAAGGCACCTCTGCTCCATTGGAGAAGGCGATGATTGTCGAGTGCTTCGGTACTCCACAGTATCCTGGAGAATAATGTTCCCTTGCTTGTCAAGGCAGTAGAAGCCACCCAAGAAGAACCTTCCATCTTTGATCCCAACCAGCATTCGGCGAAATAGCATCTTCCTTACCCAACTTACACGGCCAGAACCATCTGAGCTTCCTACTTGAACCGGAATGGGTTGTTCTGCTTCATGTTCCATCTTAGCACTTGAACCTCACCTGCAAAAGACACCACATATCCATCTAAATTCGCCAGCAGTACCACCTAACCAGGAGGATACCCATCCCAAGCTAACAAACTTGTAAGGAAGCTATTTCTCAAAGGTTGCAGAGGCTCTTTTTCCTTATAGCCATTCTAAACCTTGTCAAAATACAGAGCTGACAAAACTGTAATTTGAAAAATACTCTTAGATAAAACACAGGACAGTATATTGAACTTAAGCCAGCATAGTTTTGTCTTTGCATTTTTATGAGAGACAAAGCTGAAAACCATTTCAAAGCCTTTTCACTTCCTAATTTTCAGCATAGCAAATCAATTATCTCAAAGTTTGACCATTTATTCCAGAAAGGGCAAGAGAATACAACAGAAAGGAACATTCAGACCACAACTGATTCAGAAACTCAAAGGAATATCTGAATTATAAACAGCATACCCTCATGCTACTTATAACATAACACAGTCCAACAAAATCACAAAATAAGGGGAAGAGAGTAAGACATAAAAAAAAACAAACATGATTTAACTAAAATCTTAGATTGTTGAAGAAGTTCTCAAAATAATTATTACCTACGGAACGTTTCTTCACAAAATCACTGCCTCCTTCTATTCCTCAACTCAATCTCCGACCGTCGCTTTTAAAAACCGAACCCCTCTTCACTGACCTAACTCGAAAAAACACAAACATTCTGTATTTTATAGGTATTATCTACTGTAACATAAACAAAAAATATTTGACATATTTACAACTTATTTTTTATAACTTTTTACGATCATATTTTAATATCGTTGATTTCTGTCAATTAAATTTATTAATTAATTATTAATTCATAATAAATTATAATTATTGAACAACGAAAATCAATGATGTTAAGATATAATTATAAGAAGTTGTAAAAAAAAAGTTGTAAGTATAATCTTACTCAATTAATTCATGTAACTAAAAACTCTGTTTAATTTCTAAAGGTCGCATGATTTTTTAATAAAAAATTAAAGTAATTTATTTTTAAATTAAATCTATGAAAAAAATTTAGGAGGTGTCTTTCTTCTCTCTCTTTTTCACAAAAATATATAATCATATAAAACAAACTTATTAATTACTTAAATAATTTATGTCTATCTATCATGGTACGTGTCATTCAGTTTATATTTTTTGTTTTCAGTTAAAATTGGAAAAAAATTGGGAAAATAAAATAACATAATGTTCATTTATCTTTATTCATTAATTTTAAGTATGTATAATACTTTAACTTTATCTAAAAAAAGAAAGAAGATTCTTTTATTTTTATTTTGTACGTAAAGCGATTTAACTTTTGTTATATCGTTTTTTAAATAATGACATGTATTCTTTTTTAATTTTTTTATTTTAAATGCTCTTTTAATCTAATTAATCTTCATTTTATTTTTAATTCAAACATCTACTATTATTTGATTTGTGCTGAATTAAAAAAGTTTGAACAAGGCACGAGACGAGATCCACACTGATTATAAGTTTAAATAAAGAGGTTTGATTTTCTCATGTTATATGAGAATTCAATTCTCATGTTGTAGAGATAAAAAGCATGTGAGACTCATGTGTTAGAAAAAATTATATATAAGACCCATGTCAGCACGAAAATCAAAAAGTATGTAGGAAAATTTGAATTCTCATGTTAAATGAAAATTATAAAACCCTTAAATAAAACGGTAACCACTTAACGATAAGTTTATAAGTTTTGGAATTGAAAGTAAGGATAGGATCCATTTACAACTTTATTTTGCAAATTACACTAAGGGCATGTTTGGTGCATAGTATATGATAAGGCCTGATAGTATAAGATTTGATAGTATAAGGCCTGATTGTATAAGACCTGAATGAATTTTAATACTATCCAGCGCTTGGCACGGTATTGTGTAAAATAATATATTGTATAAGATAATATCATCTAGTATTTGATAAGGTACTGTATAATATTATATATGATAAAAATAAATATTTTTAATAAAAATATCCTTTAATAAATAATTTATATAATTCTTCAAAAAATTTCATATGATATTAATTTTTATAAAAATTTATTGATCAGTGTGTCCAAAATATAAATTAATTTTTATAAAAACAAAATATTCAATATTTTAAAAATTAATATATTGAGAAATTAATTTTTATTTTAATAGATTAATATTAAAATAATATATCAATTTTTGAAAATTACATTGGTCATCAATGTTAATACATCAATATCTTATCAGGCCTTATCCCTCACCCTTAGGCCGTAATAAGTTATACATCGTTTTGATGTATTAAGGGATTATGCTGTATAAGTTTATACTATACGATGGTCACACCAAACAACTGAAAATGTCATAACGTATAGTATAAGCTTATACTATCATGCCTTATACGTCACACCAAACATGCCCTAAGTATGATTGGTCGTACTTTAAAAATTAAAGTATGACCGGTCATACTTAGTGTAATTTGTTATAATTTGTAAACAAAAAATTTATAAATATAACGTTCACGTCGAAAGTAATAATAAATATTTCACCAAAACAAAAATAATAAATAATATTTTCTTTTTTATACTAAGTTTGATTAAATAATGGGATAATAGTATTTTGAAAAAAATGAAGAATTTCTTTATTTGATTTCTTCTAATAATAAAAACGAAAAAAATATGAAAGAATTTTTTTCATTTGTTCATAATTTTATTTTACTTAAAATACTATTTTTTATTCTTTTTAAAAAAAAATTATTTAATTAAGAAATAGAATATTGTTACTAACCGTTATTATCATATCTTAATTATTGATTTTTGTTCGGTTGATTTTCGTCAATCAAATATTATTATTTTCACAAAATAAACTCATTAATTAATTATTATCTCACAATAAATAATAATCATTAATTGAGTGAAATAATAATTAATATATTATAATAACTTAATAATAATATTATTGGGTAATAACAATATCATATACTTTTAATTAAGTATACATAATTATTAATGACAGCCTGTAACGTAATTATCTAAAATAATTTAAAGGGGTAAAAAACAACTAAGGAAGAACAAAACCTAGGAAGATTCTCAGTAATCAAAATCCTGGATAGCGTTCTACGACGAATCCTAGGAAGCTCGCCAAAGAGCACCCTACTCTTTCTCTCCTCTCGCTCGCTCTCTCTCTCTCTCTCTCATTAGGGTTTTAGCTCGCTTCTTATTCTTCTTCTTCTCTCTCATCATCAGGTATGCAACTATGGGGTTTTAGATTTTTGACAATTCGCACCTATAATTGTTTTCTTCTTATTCTGCTGGAACTCTCAGTTGTTGGGTTTAAGAAAGTTCATTTTTTTTTCCTAGAATCATTTGGGAATCTTCACTTTTTGATTTTTTTTCTCTTTTTTCAAGCTGTATGAGGTGCCTTGCCAGTATAACACGTTATCTTACCTTGTATTTCATCTTGTTAACAAGAGTTTTGTTTGTTAAACAGACGGTTTTGTTACTACTTTATTGGATTTTCTTTTCAAATTTTACTGAGATATATGGCGCAGTTGATGTTAAATTATGCTCTCTGAATCTGTAATTGGTTCATCTTATAATTCTATCTCCATAATTACCCCCACAAGATTTTTAATCTTAACTGTAGCTCCTGTGTTTGCTCCACCGTAATTATTTCTGCTTTAGTCACACTTTGGATGATACAAGTCCATGTTGAAAATGGTGTGAAGTCTTATTCGTATGAGTATGGGTATTTTAGTTAAACTGCATTTATGTTCCCACCATGTTAACTAATAGCTGATTAGTGGGCTTATGTTTGTGTATAATATTTTTATTTTAATAGCTTGATTTGGCAATAAAAAATGGTGAGTTTAATAGTGTTTTATTGTTTCATTTAAACTTTTAATCTAAGGGGTGGCATGGGTGAGCAAGTACGGTGAAAAGAAAGAAAAAAATATTTTACAACTGATTATGTGTGTATCTAACATTATGTTTTGTTTTCAGAAGCAGTGCAGGTAATTTGTAAAATGGGTGAGACTGGGAAACGATATCGTTCGAAGAGAGACCATGATGGGGACAGCAAAAATCAAAAGAGACGTGTGAATGACAAAGATGAAAAGGGCAATGATGAGATGATTGTGTATAGGATACTCTGTCCGGATGGTGTTATTGGGAGTGTTATTGGTAAGAACGGAAAAGTGATAAATTCAATAAGGCAAGAGACCAGGGCAAAAGTCAAGGTTGTGGATCCATTTCCTGGTGCCAAGGATCGAGTTATAACGATTTACTGCTATGTTAAGGAGAAGGAAGATGTTGAGGTTGATGATGAGTTCAATGATAAAAAGCCCTTATGTGCTGCCCAGGATGCTCTTCTCAAGGTTCATTCTGCCATTTCAAATGCCATGGAAACTGTTGGAGATTCTGAGAAGAAACGAAAGAATAAGGAAGAATGTCAAATCCTTGTTCCATCGAGCCAGTCTGCAAATATCATTGGTAAGGCCGGGGCTACCATTAAAAAACTGAGAGTTAAGACACGGACAAATATCAAAGTCATTGCCAAGGATGCTGCTGACCCAGCACACTCATGTGCCATGGAGTTTGACAATTTTGTGTTGGTTGGTATATTTAATATTTTCAAACATAGTAACTTACAATTTTTATATCTTCAATCATATTTTAACTCAAAAAAAAAAAAAAACAGTTGTTAAAGCATTCTTTTGAAGTGAACTTCTATCTACTACATGCTTGTTTTCGTTGTATGTAGATTACTGGTGAATCTGAAGCAGTAAAAGCAGCATTATTTGCAGTTTCTTCAATTATGTACAAGTTCTCACCCAAGGAGGACATTCCTCTTGACACCACTGTACCAGAAACTCCTCCCAGCATTATCATTCCTTCTGAAGTTCCAATTTATCCACCTGGTGGACTATATCCAGCATCGGATCCAATTATCACACCTAGGTCCGTTCCTCAAATTTTAGGATCTACAAATGTACAAGATCTGCAAGGTTATGCTGATGCAGGAAATACATGGTCTCTATACTCATCTTCCCTTCCAGTAGTTTCTGGTCTTGGTGCTTCCAAATCTGAGGAGTTAATTGTAAGAATGTTGTGCCCTGCTGACAAGATTGGGCGTGTCATTGGGAAAGGAGGGGGTACAATTAAAAATATGAGGCAGGCTACTGGTGCTCATATCGAGGTTGATGATTCCAAAGCTCGTCATGATGAATGCTTAATCACTATAACTGCAACAGAGGTGCACTATCTATGCTTCTTCAATTTGTTTATATAAGATATAATTGCACATCCAATAATTGTGGTTGTGGGACTGGGGGGTGTTAACTTGGTGGAGTACCGGAGTCCATGATATATCGTGTACACATAAAAAAGTTTGACTTCAACTAGTACTATTTATAAACATTCCTTCTTTTCTTCTTTTCTTTTTCCTTTTTTTTGGGGTTGGGGGGGGGGGGGGGGTCATTTCCATAAGATCAATTCTCAAAATTATGTGCAAGAATAAGAAAAGTAAAAATCGCATAAGAATTGAATATCAAGATGAGGAGTTGATTCTTACTCATTAGGAACTTGTGTGCTTTATTGTTAAGCTTCAAGCATATGTTGTTTGAATTTTTAGTTTGATCTCTAGTTTCTTTATTTCCTTCTTTCTATCAAGTATAAACTATTTTTTAATCAAAATTATGGTAGATATGTTTCATTTTAATGTTACTTTTAGATATCGGGCTTATCTTAAATATTTCTTTGTCTAGATTACTAGTTTGCTGAATATTCTCTATGTTTCTTTTTATAGGCATCTCCTCTGCTTTTCTTGAGTGATACATTTCATGCATATCTTCCATGAAAATTTAAAGCACGTTAGATCCATTATTGAAGAAAATCTTTTTATAGTTGATACTAGTTACTATTGTGGCTAAATGCCTTGTGCTCTAATCATAGTTATCAATCGCGCAAAATAGTGGCGCTATAGCTCTAGAGCTGGGTGGGGTGGAGGTCCTCCACTCCTAGATGGCTTTCGCATCATGTTTCAGCCTAGTGCACATAGCGGCTGCAATATCAGCTGTCGCAGACACAAATGGATATCATACCAAACCATGGGGGTGAAAAGAAAACCCTAATATTTTTGGGTGTGGGGAATTCCCTAAATTACCTCAACTAAATTAAATATTTGAGTCTTAATAATGTAAGCACCAAATTAAGTATTTTACGTCTCTCTACTAGACAATAAAAAAAAGTCTCTGTTCTTCAACCCAGTGTGCACTCTGTTCAGGGTTTGCTTCAAGTCTTCCTCAAGCCAGTACAGCCAACCACCATTTTTTCACTCTGTTTAGGGTTTTCTACTCTGTTTCGCTCACAGCCAGCCTCATCCCTGCTCCACATCCACCATTCTAGCTAGTCTCTGTCTTGCACAAGCAATGCATCTTCTTGCGCAGTTCCGCATGCATTTTCTTCCTGTATTTCACACGGTGGCCTTTGTTTCAGATGGAAACCTCTGTTTCGGAAGCTCCAATCTCTGCTTTGGAGTTTCACATTGCTATATCCTCTGTTTCCTTTAGTTATTTGAGTCTTAATGATGTATGTGTCTTAACTTTTGAGTATTGAGTGAATGAGTCCTATGTTTCAGTACCCCTTATCTTCTGTGTAGTGGCTGCTCCGCAACCCGCTATACCATTGTAGCATTTTGGGGTTGGCTGCTCCATTCTGCTATCTGGGATTGACCATTGTTGCTCTAATTGTGCCATCCCTCATAATAATGAGAATTGATGCTTATTTGAAGGTCAACACCAACAGGGTCCACATGTTAATTACAATATGGAAATATTTTATTTCAAGATATTAAATTTTTTTGGGTGAGGGAGCAAGGGATACTGTAATGTTACTCCAGTAAAGAAAATATTTCAATTTCATTATGTCTGCAGCATATGTCAGTGAGGTGGCATAGATGGCAAGTCTAAAGCAATGGTAAAACTGCTTCTTTATGACCGCAAAGTCACAGGTTCGATGCCTAAAAACAACCTCTTTGCTAAGTTGCAAGTGTAAGATTATGTATAAGGATTTTCCTCACCCCTACCCTCGCAAGTCAGGGTTTCATTGGAAGTGGTTTTGATGTCAGCAGGGTGGCAGTCAAGTATACATTTTCTTTATCTCTTCATGCTAGGCGGTAGGTAGTTTTTTTTTTTTGTAGGCTTCATTTGTACATGGTTAATCTACAGGTGTACTAGCAGATAAACTTGGTCCTTATTTTTGTTTGACCTGAAAGCTTCTTCAAATTATTGAATTGTATGATCCGTTATATGCTTGGTTTCTTAGTTGGTGGGTTTTGTTGACTCCCATATTGTCCTTACTATGTATGGTGTAGCCTTTTCCTATTTTTTATATTGATCATGTGCTGTTTTTCGATCGTAAAAGGAAAATCTATCATGTAGTATGTCTATTTTGTAGTCGTCAAGTGATTTGAAATCCATGGCTGTTGAAGCTGTTCTACTACTGCAAGAGAAGATAAGTGAGGAAGATGATACCACAGTTTCAATCCAGCTCCTAGTTCCATCCAAGGTGATAGGATGTATTATAGGGAAAAGTGGTTCAATCATAAATGAAATTCGAAAGAGAACTAAGGCAGATGTTCGAATCTCAAAAAGTGATAAGCCTAAATGTGCAGATGTGAATGATGAACTCATTGAGGTTTGAAGTCTTTTTCGCTTCATCATTCTTCTTGTTTAATTTGTATATTTATTTTGTTGAATATTCTTTTGGATTTCTGATTTAGGTGGTCGGCGGAGTTGATTGTGTGAGGGATGCACTTATCCAGATTGTCTTAAGGCTGAGAGATGATGTATTGAGAGAGAGGGACACTGGCCATAACCATAATCCCCCTATAGGTGCTGAATCCTTGTACTCAGGTAGCTCTGTTCTTTCAATGCCATCTGTGATGTCTTCAGTTCCTCCTTTCCCTGCTCCACTGGCTTATGATCAGAGGACTGAAAATGGAACTGGCCTGGGCATGCTTTCTTCTAGCAGCCTTTATGGATATGGATCTCTTTCGGTATGTCTTGCCACTGTTTTTTCTTGTTATAGTAACTTATCATAACTGCTAGAATATCAGGACTGTTGACCTAGATTGTGATGGATATGGCTTGTACTAGTTGTACTTCATTAGTGCTTGACCTAGATTGTTAATATAAATGCGTCTATTACTTAGTGATTAACACACATCTTATTATCAGTGAAATATACTATTTCTCTCTTTTCCTCCCTTTCCCTATGTTTTCAAGAATAAATAATCTCTTATGATGTGATCATTGTCTTGTATGTATCTCATGATTTATAGGTATTGATTCTAATTTGAAGTTCCAGGTTCAATATATGGGGAAAAAATAGTCTTTTTTTTTTTTTAAAGACTTATAGATATGAATTAATTTCGTGAAAAATTGTTTTTTTGATTTCATGCTCTATTTCTTAAAATGCATGGTTGAGATGTACTCTTATCTCCCTAAAAGTTATGAAAATAGTTTCTTTTCTAACCCCCCCCCCCCCCCCCCCCAATTATGCATTAAAAAAAGAAAGAGAAGCATAGGCTGCAATTGGCATGATATGGTGATGCTAATTGAGTTGCAAAGACTTGTGACATTTTATGCCCAATGGTGATGTTAATTGATTTTATTCTTTTGAAACTAGAATTATAATTATAGACAATTTGATTGAGTGTAGGTTCAGCTAAAATGTTATTTTTCATCATACACATGTTTTCATGGCTTATACATTGATTTAAAATGTGAAAAATCTTGTAGCAATGCAAATTGAAATTATATTAGATAGCTCCTTTGTTGTGTCCGTGCATAGTATATATTCTAGTTTTTTATTAGTCTTTTGGGTTCGAATATTGTTGTTATGAAGTTATGAGTACTGTTATAATGAAGTAGATAAAGTGGTGAATACTGATGGATTTTAGCATTCTTTTTTTTTTTTTTTTATGGGAGTGGGTGGAATTGTGAACTTTTTTCCTCAGAGCCCATTCTTCTATTCAGCACTTCCTTTCCTCCGGTGCTGTGTAAAGTATCTATTTTTCTATTACAATATGCTAATATGTGTTTAACTCTTTCTCTATTTTTAGTTTTTAAACATATGTCACCGATATCTTCTCTTGTTTGTTTCTCTGCAATAGATTGGAGAAAATGGCTATGGATCTATGTCTTCGTATGCCACCAAGCTGTATGGAGGGTTAGTATATATTGTTATCAAAGTTATATGCATTCTATACTTTACAATGGACTTGGTCCTTTTTTTTCTTTACTTGGCTTTATGTTAAACTGTTAATTATATTCAACTTGTGTTTATGTGCCTTCATTATACACAGTTTGCCTCCCCCATCAACTCTGGAGATGTTGGTTCCTGCTAATGCAGTAGGCAAAGTGTTGGGTAAAGGAGGGTCCAATATAGCCAATATCAGGAAGGTTTGTTCACACAATTTAATTTACTTTTCTTTTATTCTATGTTAAAAGGTAACTAATTCATGGTTTGAAAGGTATATTTATATTGTTTATCTTAAATTAATGCCAAATGGGTCCTTGTTGCTGTATCTCACTGACACTGTATGCTTTTGAATTGTGATGAACTGAGAACAGTTACTTATCTGAAAATTAAACACTGTTATATCATACTTTCTCAAGTTTAGTGTTTAGTTTATTTTGATTTCTCACTTTGTTACATTATGATATGATGTATCTTCTCAGTCCAGTTATTTGATGTAAAAGAGAGATATCCAACTTTCACTAATTAGAAAAAACATATTAAGGTTTTTCCTATTATTTTATCAGTTATGTTTTCGGTTTACCACAGTATTTTTTTAGATGTCATGTAATGAAACTATTTTGTGAAGTATTTTCTTTTTGCTCTTACTGATACACTCAGACAGACACACACACATACACAGAGTTCGGTTGAACCTCAATGGCCAAAGTATCTTGCATATTCAAGTTTATACATCTTTGGTGGCTAATGGAATACCAGTTTGTTTATACTTCTATACCCTTTGTACATGTACTTAAAATTTGCTTCATTGAATGGCAATTTTATGTTTCGTTGTTTCAATCCAGATTTCAGGAGCAACAGTAGAGATTTCTGACTCCAAATCTGCCCGGGGTGATCGTATTGCTCTTATTTCTGGCACACCTGAACAAAAGCGTGCAGCTGAAAACTTGATCCAGGCATTTATAATGGCTACATGAGTTGTTGGAGTTATTTCTGGGGGTTTGAAGGTGAAAATTTAATTCTCAGTGCATGTTCTTGTTCCTCTTCTTAGGTCCTCTAGGTTGGTCGTGGAGAGAATTTTCTCTAGGGTTCTTCAACTGGACTCCTGCTTCTTCCGTAACAGTGATTACCAAGATTATGCCTGATCATCCAGTGCTGGTTTTGTATGTAGGAGCTATTGTTCCTTTCTTTTCTGTTTTCTTAATCTACTCTTCATCTGCGTTTTTTCTTAGAAATTTAGGATCTTTCTGTCCATTCATACTTTTTTACTGATGAATAGTGTGGAATCATCTTTATCTCCATTAATTAGTATCAGAGGAACCATAAAGGGATTATGTTTATTTTGATTCTGCTGGTTCAACCTTTTATTCTCCTTTCTTGCTGAAAGTATCTGCTCCCCAATGATACAAATAAAATGCAAATTCCCTTGCAATCTCCTCTTTCTAGTATCCTTGGTTTGCGGTTACTTTGATCATAAGTGGGGAAGTTTCCTCACGCCAAGCGCACTTCATTATATACATATAATCTGAAAAACCATTGGAATTTATTTTGTAGATCTTGTGTTCATGCTTTCACTTCACAGTTATCTTGTCATGGATGCCACTCACAGAGATGCTTGCTGCTGCATTTTATGGTAGCAAGCCTTCCCCTCTTCCAATGTGGTTTAAAATGATTTCATTGGATCTCCTAAATTCTATCGAGTGAAATTCATTTTATGATCTCTATCTCTGCTGCCTGCGGCTTACCTATTGTCCAGTTTGCAACTTAACATTTAGTGCATTGGATCTCCTATATTCTATCAAGTTAAATTCATGTTATGATCTCTACCTCTGCTACCTGTGGCTTATCTATTGTCCTGTTTGCAACTTAAGATTTTGTATCTCAACTGAACTTGTATTATAGTTAATTGAATTTTGGTAACCAAGGTATTAACCTGCTCTAATTTTAGTGGTTTTTCCCAAATGAAAAATAAATTTATAGGCACTGGTTTCCTATCCGTAAGGCATCTGCTTATTTTTCAGATATTGTTTTTTGAAGGGTGCAATAAGATTAAATCATCCTATTTCATCAACGTTTGCCTCGTCTTTATTTCCATCTTCTGTTGAAAAATCATCCATATTGCCTGTTTCCATGTTTTAACATCAGCACGACGACACTAATGTACTCAAAACTTCCTTTTTCTAGCTATAAGTGACTGGCCTCTCTCGGCTTTCTTTCTATAATGTGCTATCATCCGGATACTTTTCAGTGATAATGTTGAGACATTGCCTTTCTTAGCTACAATTTTTCTTCATTTTGCGCTAGTCATCTAGTTTCTTTGATGCTATTTCACAAGTCTCCCTAGCCTCTAATCTCAGCATAATAATGCTCGATAGAACATTTTTTTATCTTTTAAATGATATAATATACATTTTAACAAACCCTCCCTTGGTTCTAGGTAACTGTAGATTTTCTAGCTGGACAATTTCCCATCTTTGATTCTGTATATTTATACATTTTTGTCCATTCGTTGATTATTTTCCCATCATTCTTATCAGTAAGGATGCCTAGTCTGAGTTTGGTCATTAGGTCCCTAGGCAACCATTGTCATTAGTGGATAATTCAATGCATTGATGATGTCATGCATGATATTGGTTTCTCTTGGAGATTAATCTGTCCATATTTCCATGTGAAGGGGTATGATTCATTGGGGGGTGGAATTGTATCTAAATTTAATATCAAGAATCTTGTTAGTTATTACTATTTGTGTAAGAATTTGCTTTTACGTTGCACATCAAGTAGTGAGTGGTAGATGTCTATTGTACATGCAGCTTTCTTCATTCTTTTGATTTCTACGAGGTTACTGTTTGCGTGTCTATCATATGAATTTATGTTATATATTCCCAGGGATAACTGGGTACAATCCCTTCTATGTGGTACTTGCTAGGCTCAGTCAATCTTTTTGTTTTTAACATGCATCAATGGATTTATTTTTAAAGGGGTCATTATTCGTACACTACATTTGTGATATTGACTTTCCGATCAACCCGAAAAGAAATTAAAAAGAAGAAGAAATATGTATTGTTCTCTAAGTTTTTGCTAATATATATCAGTAAATTTATCAATAAAAATCGTACCTCCTATTGGGCTATATTCTGCATGGTTTTGTTCGAAAGACTGGGTGATCGATCATGTTACATTGATTAGTCATTTGAATTGGATGTATTTCCCAGTTCATATAATACGATGCAATTATGAATTCAAGGCCATTTTTCTCAAATTGATGGAGTTCTTTTTCATAGAAACAATCTGCGATTGAAAATTCGGAAATAACGATAAAGGGGGAAGTTCTGACAGACACTTTAGAAAAGTAGAAATCCAACATAGAAACTAAAAAGCAGCTAGTGAAGACTGATTGTACTGGATAAATGTTTCTCATACAAACAATGGCCTCATTTTAACGGATCAAATAGATTTTAAAAAGATATTTTTACCTACTATCCTAACTTTAGTTCCAAAAAATAAAATAAAAAAAATCTTGGAAGTATCATGGAGATAATAAGGCTTATCCTGTATCCGTCTAAAAAGGGTTGCATATAAGAATGCCTTTTTTAATGTTATATTGTCAATTCGCTACATAATTCAGAAGGACTTGGACCACGCAAATGGAGTAGCAGCTTGTTATCATTAAAAGTGTATTGAATGTCACATCTACAACAGCTTATTATGATTGTTCTTCCCTAATGTAATGGTATTGCCCAAGTTAATGTCCTACAACAGTTTATCGTATCCAAACTTCAATTGCTCATCTACTCGTTTGTGCCACAGGGTTTCCCCACAATTCCATCTTTAATACTTATTAAACTGTCTCTTAAGTTGTTACCCTCAAGGCAACCAATGGAAAATGTTGGTGGTGTTAGGTGATGTTTCTGCAAGTGGATCTGGGATATTTTCTATAGGCAATGTGGATATAATATCTCCCCTTATTTTTTCAAGTGCTAAAGTGTCTTAGTTTCAGCTAGCATTTAACAATTTTATAACAAAAAGGATTTATCCCTCTACAACCCCCTTCCACCCAAATGATGGTTGGCGTTCTAATTCCTTCAACATTGCGAGGTTGAAAAATAGAGTAATTATAATCATGTATAGAGATTAATTAATTTTGTGAGATAACATGATATAGTCATTTCAGGTAAAATAAAAGTAGTATTTTTTATTTATTTTTTTGATAAATATTACATTCATCAATGGTGACAAAAATCATAGAAGGGAACAGTAAAGCACGGACACGCTCATCCAAAAAAAATTTGCGTGTCCGACACAGACACGCTTGGACATGCGATCAACATTTGGTGACACGCGGTCAACTCTCCGACACGTTTTTCGACACGCGGTCAATTTTTTTTGACACGCGGTTAACGCTAGGACACGCTCGGACATGTTTTTTTTTTTTTAAATCTTAATTTTATTTTGTTAACTAAATATAAAAGAAAATTTATAAATTAATTTTTTTCTGTTATAAAATTTGACATAAAAAATTAAGAAAGTACGAAAAATTATTTATATTTATATTTATGTTATAAAATTTAAATATTTGATTAGTTATATGACTTATTATGGACTCTTATATGTATTAAATATAAATTATATTATATATATTAAAAATTTTATTTAATATCAAAACGTGTCCAAATATGACATTTTTTAGAATTAACGTGTCGGCGTGTCGTGTCGTGTCGTGTCCCGTGTCCGTGTCCGTGCATCATAGGAAGGGAATATATGACTATGAGAGGCGGGGAACTCTCAGGGATACTTAGGGTGTGTTTGGTACAAGTATTTCAAAAGTATTACTGGTAAACTCAATTACCATGTTTGGTAGAAGGAACAAAAATCAGTTCCCGAATATCCAAGGATTACCGATAATTTGATTTATAAAGAAAAATCACTATTTAGATTACCAAAAATAATACAAAAAATAAAGAAAAACCAGTTTCCTTTACTTGGTAATTCAGAATACCAAGTAAAGGGAAAGCACAACAATAATTTTTGAGACAAAAATACCTCAACACACATAAAAATCTAGACCCACTCTATCAATTACAAAAGTAAAAAAAGTTTGGGGTTATTTTTGTAAAATAACCTCATATTCAAAGTCATATTTCGTTCTAAACCAAACATGGAATCAGTAATCTTTATCCAATATTTCCGGTAATATTTTGGCGAACCAAACACATTTTTCGTAAGATTCTAAGTAAACTCAATTTCTATTGTATTCCCATTAATCGTGATTCTCGGATACCAAAAAATTTCTCTTGTACCAAACACACCCTTAGTGTCTGTTCTGGATTTCTTTTTTTTAGTTTCTCTTCTCCTTTTAAGTAAAAGTTAGGCCAAAAAGAATTTTACAAAAACTCTTATAATAAAAAGAGTTTTTTCTATAATGAAGAAAAAAATAAAAAATAAAAAACTCATAGAAGGAGCTTTTTTTAAGTTGTATCATTTTTTTTTTGAAATATGTGCCTTTTTTTATAAATGAACAGTTTTTAAGTAACTTTTAAGTTAAAATTTTTATATAATCATCAAACAACTTGTAGCTTTATTTTAAATTATTTTTTTTCAGCTTTACCTTAAAAGTAACTTCTAGGTTAAAAAAAGTTTACAAATAAACTCCTATAATGTCCTAAAGATAGTTCTAAGTTACAATATTTAAATATTTATGCAATACTTAATGTACTTCTATATATATATATATATATATATATATATATAAATATATATATATATATATATCAACACATGTACTTATGCTATATTAAATCACTTGTGCTTTGGATTTTAAAATTTTAACAAAAAGAAAAAAAAAAGGATGGTTTCAATAAAACAATATGTCAAATGACTTTTTTTTGTAAGTGATCATAATTACCTCTTTGAGGCGAATCAGAACCCCGGTATCCTCACGGGTTCGACTCTTTGAGCCGCATATGGGACTAATCAAGAGTTCGGGTGCGAGTCCAAATATTACGGTACTTATACCTCCAGATGGTGTTGGTGGAATTCGAACCGAGGTCCTCTCCCACCACTCAGTCCCCACACTACCAACTCAGCCACCACACTTGGATATGTCAAATGACCTTTTATGCGCTATATCTTCTAACTTCTGATTCTTGTTTTTTTTTTTTTTTGAAATAAGATTCTTGTTTTTTAACTATGATAAAAACACCGAGAATACTTTTGCAATTAGGTCCAATCATGTTCGAACTGGGTTATGTCGGATAATTGAAAAATTAGTAGAGAAAACCAGAAAAAGGAATAAAAAAAATTGGAACTTCTTACCCATTATTAAGATTTCATTAATAATAACACATGTTTATTGTTTTTTATATTGTCGGAGATAAATTTATCTTTTAAACATGCATAAAATTATGTGAGATTTATATTTTCTCTTTTTTTCTCTTCTTCTCACATATTGACCTCATACACTTTTATGTGTATACAGAAAGTAAGTTCATTTCTTACAATATGAGAAACATTAAACCCTAATAACAATTTGGCTAAGTATAGCATACCCAAAAAAAAAAACAATTTGGCTAAGTTTAGCTATACCCAAAAAAAAAACAATTTGGCTAAGTTTAGCTATACCCTTATCACATCTTATGTTTTAATATTATTTTAGAAACGATGTGGTTGAGTTGTCATAGTGTTTGCAATCTATGTTTTCAAGCTTAAACCTACTCGAGTGAATGTCACTTTAAGCCTAATCCTGGTAAATACGAAAAGTCGTCCAGATTACAAAACTAATAGGTTGAAACTGATTTATGCATTGCTTTGGTTTAAATAATTAATCATGCAAAAGTAACTCAGACGTCATACCTTATGCAAAGCTAGAGTATTATACTATAGTTGATTATAATTGTCACATATATGTTTTAAAGTACGTTATTGTCTAACTAAATCGGTATTATTTAACTATACGAGCTTCTTTGAATTCTCTCTTTTTTAAGTTAGAAGTTTATTATAAGCTAAAACTAAAATAAAAACTAAAAGTTGTTTGGTAAATACATAAAAATCTTAGCTTAAAATCACATATTTCAAAAAAAAATATATCTCTCTCTATCTCTATAGCTCTTCATTTAAAAAAAACACACACAATTCAAGAAAAGCAGATAAGAGCTTAAAAAAAACTTCTCCTAGGAGCTTTTAACTTTTAACTTTTAACTTTTTTTTCTTTATAAAAAAAGAGTTTTTCATTATAAGAGTTTTTCTCAAAACATGTTTTGCCTATCTTATGCTTATAAGTAGTTTCTAACTTAAAAGAGAGAGAATTCAAACAAGCACTAAATCGAAAACTCGACGAAAGGAATACAAGAAATATTGTAATCTACACAACTAAATTGCTTAACAATGCCACTAATAAGAATTTGAGTTCTAAGAATGCAAATCAAAAAGGGTCGGAAGATACTCTCAATAGCAACAAAACTTTCAAGGATTTGCTTTATATAAAAAGAAAAAACCTGGAAGTAGGGAGGTCTATAGATTAATATAACTAGGAAATCCGAATAGCAACTTAGACAAAGAAGGGAACATTAGCGATACATAAAAGCCTCCGAACAAATCCAAAAAAAAAAAAAAAAGGCCTCCAAACAACAAACAAAGAATAAATTTTGAATAACTCACATTAGTGGTGGTACTCATGAGATGCCATAACAACTCCTTTGATATCATCCAACGAACAAAATAAAAAAATTAGCACAACCTTTGGTGCATGCCTCAAGAGCCAATAAAGGGTTGTTTGAGTAGCTTTCGTTCCCAAAGGAACAACCGTTGGACCTAACTAGTATAGTAGTTTTCATTTGAACTTTATTTTTAGCTTGCAGTTTATTTTTTTCCCCAAGGTATGTATATACTTTAAGAGAGAAAAAATTCTTTAAGACTGTTTAAAAAAAATGAAATCATATGAAAGAAAACATACACTTCGAACGCAAATTTTAACTATTGATGAAAATAATTTCATGTGGGATTGCACTCCAAATATACTCCTAGGGTTGACCATAATTTCAGTTCCATAGTTGCAAGTGGCAAAATAGGTTATACATCTTACATGCTTTGTGTCTGTACTTTCATATGAGTACGGAAATTGTAATCTCAATCATCGTGAAATTTGAAGTGTTCATAAAGCATGTGCCATGAATGCCACATGCCACAACGTGCGCTTGTGTTCTAATTTAGTTTGTAATTTCTTGGATCCAAATCTAAATTATGAGAACAATGTTAAGTGCACATGGAATGTGATACCTAAATGGGATACAAAATATGCATTTTATAGGAATTTTCATGTTATTATTACAACTCCACAGGTAGAATGAGAGACAAATCAATTAAATCTGGCATTAATTGCAAACATAATTATAGGACTTAATTTGTTGCTTTTTTTATTAGTTATTGATAATCAAGATGAATTGTTAGTCTTTTTTGGGTGTTAATTATAAACATTTATTGTGAAAGTAACAGCGGACAACTCACTATGGACACTACTGGGGCTGGCAATGTGCTGAATTGCCCGTGAATGTATTTGCATATTGAGTTATTCCTATATCAAAAAAATATTTTTGGAGTTACTGCAGATAAATTATCTGCATTTATTTTCAAAATAATATCATTTTGGGGTTAAAAAATTAAAAAATTGTAATTATAAAGACTATAATAACTCTAAAATAAATTAAATTTACAAAAACACCATGATTTTCGTCTCAAAACGATGTCGTTTTGAGCTTACTGCAGATAACTTATCTACAGTGACTACAGACAAAACGAACCCTTCTGGGAAATGTTATATTTATTATTTTTATTTTTTTATTACTTCTTACTATCAAATCTTAAATGTTGATTTTCGTCAATCTAATGATTATAATTTATTGGATCACACTTATTAATTAATTATTAATTTCTAATAAATTAATAATCGTTACATTGACTGAAATCAATGATTAAAATTTGATAGTAAGAAAAGAATGTAGTAAATATAATCTCCCTAATATAAATATGTTATAAAGTAATGTATTTAAAGTCCTAATCCTAATTGGAACCAATTCTTTGTAATTAGGCTCAAGCTTCGAAGGAAGCCCATCTCCAATGCAACCAGCATTGCACATGCTTCCATTATTCCATAGCTATGGAAGAAACATTAGCAACATGTTGAATAAAGGGAAAGGGGTGCAGTGCAGCTGCATTGTCACCATTCACCAACCATCATGCCCAAACTCCTTTACCATCTCTTGGATCAACAACTGCATCCACATTTGCTTTAAACAGACCAGTAGGTGGCTTTTATCCACTGACTTGGATCTGCACCAGAAGCTAAAGTTCTGTTTTCTCATATAAGCATGTGGAGAGACTCAACACCACCCTATTCAGCAACGATTTAAAAGTTTATGCCCAAAAAGAAAAAATAAAATAAAAAGTTAAACCAACTGTTTTACACTTTTAGGTATGCTTGCAAAACACAGTAACCCAAATAAGTTTTTTTTTAATATTATTCTGTTTTCACATATTGAAAAAGTTGGAACCATCTGTAACCTTATTTTAGACATTTTCCGTCAATATTACCAAAAACAAATTTCAAAACCGAAAACAGCAAATAAAATTGTTATTCGTTAACTTGAATACAAACGCAAACTAAAATTGAAGAATACTACATAAGGAAAGAGATAAAAAAATGTTTACCAAAAAAAGAAGAAGATAAGAATAAAAATGGGTTGAAAGAAAACTTGAAAAAGAAACTATAAATTAAAATTCTAACAAGAAAATATAAAAAAAATACAGAAAGCAAACACAAACTGAAAAAGAGAGAAATAATAGACAAAAAAAGGCAATTGTTATAGAGAAATTAGGGCAAATATATTATATAGTGAGAGTAAGAGCTAGTTAAAAACACAATAATAGAGATAACAGAAGTAGAAGGCACCAAATAACGCACCAACACAATCACTCACCCTCTACCACTGATTCACCTTTTTCCTCGACGCGCATAATATCTCTATCTTTTTTCTCTCTCTTTTTTCTCTTTCTCGTTCTCTCACATAATATATGTGAAGACAAGACCAAAACCGTGGATCTGTCTCCACAACCCACCATTTCCATCTCTTCCTCTTTACATCTGTTTCCGCCATTCTCGGTTTCTGGCTCTGTACCCTTTCACCCTCTCTTCAATTCCCTCAACTCCATTCCATTCCATTCCATTGAGACTCTGATTCTGCACTGCGGAACTGAAACCTAGGCATGCGTATGCTTCACCGATTCATAGATCTGCCTCAAACCCATTTCCCCAATAGCTGAAATTTCAAACCTTTTTTTATCTGATCAGACCCAATTCCCATCTCTCTCCAAAAACCCCCCAATTTCTCTCTCTCTCTCTCTCTCTAGAATGTCCTCTCTGCGCGCAGATCTACCCTCCCGGATCTACCCGGAACCGGATGGGTCTGAAATCGACCACTTCGATCGGCTCTCAGACCATCTCCTCCGCCTTGTGTTCAACAAGATCGGCGACGTGAAAACCCTAGGTCGATGCTGCGTCGTTTCGCGGCGCTTCCACTCCCTGGTGCCTCAGGTCGATAACGTCGTCGTTCGCGTCGATTGTGTCATCTCCGACGATGATTCATCTTCCTCGACGGCATCCTCGGACAAATCGCGCGGCCCCATCTGGAACCTTCTACGGTTAGTGTTTAGCGGCATCGTGAAGCCCATTCAAACCCTAGGCCAGTTCTTGGGTCCGAAGAAAGCTTCTTCGTCTCTGGCCGTTGGGAGCGAAGAAGATGGAGAAGGTGGCGTGACCCACCACTCCCCAACGCAGGTTTTGAAGAATTTCAACGAGATTCGGTTGCTTCGGATCGAGCTTCCAAGCGGGGAATTAGGTATAGAAGATGGGGTTTTGTTGAAATGGAGAGCTGATTTTGGATCAACTTTGGACAATTGTGTAATCCTAGGTGCTTCCTCTGTGGTTCAACCTAAATCTCAAGATGGGGTTGATGGCATTGGTAGTGGCAACAACAATGGTGATGACAATGGAAGCATACCTGACTCGTTTTACACCAACGGGGGTTTGAAACTCAGAGTCGTTTGGACCATTAGCTCTTTGATTGCTGCTTCTGCAAGGCATTACTTGCTGCAACCCATAATTTCTGAGCATAAGACTTTGGATAATTTGGTGTTGACTGATGCTGATGGTCAAGGGGTGCTTTATATGAATAGGGAGCAGCTTGAGGAGTTGAGGGTGAAGCCACTTTCTGCTTCTTCGGCTTCAAAGAGGACTCTTGTTCCTGCCCTCAATATGAGGCTTTGGTATGCACCCCAATTGGAGTTGCCTGATGGTGTTGTTTTGAAGGGTGCTACTCTTGTTGCAATTAGGCCCAGTGAGCAATCACCAACTACTGCAAAGAAGGAGGCCTCTGATGTGTCTTGGGTTTCAACAGCATTTGAGGAGCCTTATAGGACAGCTGCCAGCATGCTTGTCAAGAGGAGGACTTATTGCCTTGAGATGAACTCCTTCTGATGCTTTAGTTGTTGGATCTAAGGTTTATTTTTGTCCAATTCATTTCCTCTCTTAAGTTTTGTTTTTCTGATTCGTGCTTAAACTAGATATAGAATTGAGTTGCAACTAAAAAGTTGTTAAGGATGATTTCATGTTTGGCTAATGGATTGCCACTTGAAGATAACTGAAAACCTCGCGTAAGTGTGTGTTTATCTGCTAACTGAATCCGCCTGAGCTTTATTGGCTAAATATATATATATATATATCTTTTCCGTATAATTCTCTTGGGTTAAGTTTGGATTCAGTTTTCCCTTCTCTATAATGCAAGTTTTCAATTGAAGAGAGAGAACTTTATTGTTTGAATTCAATTTTATGTTAATTGTTTTTATAATGACTGCCTAATTGTCTGATGCATCTGTCTGCTAATTGGTTCAGAAGGGGTGGAATGACAAAATACATCCTGTACCATGTTATTTAGTTCAATAGGTATAAAGGTTGTACCAAATGATGGTAGTTCAGTTGGTGCCAAGGAAATGAGCAGGCGGGGGTGAGAACATGTGTTTGATCCTCCTCAATACTGTCTTTGGGAGGGGTTTAAAGTCTTAATTACAGGACCCGCCCAAAATCAGACTAGTCCCGAAGCGATAAACCGATTGGAATATCTCAAAAAAAATAAAAAAAAAATAGGTATAAAGGTTGTATGGAATGCCTTTTGCCTTGTACTTCCCTGCTAGCTTACCCGGATTTGACGGGGATCGGACAAGATTCCCTAAAATTTCCATCACTTTTATTTAGTTCTAATGTATTGTATTGTTTCCTTATTTATGCAATTAGATTCTTTTAATCTAGCATTACCTTATTGCTCCTTTTTTTAAAGTTTGAAACTATTATTTAATTGTTTGAAATGAAAATTTCAGGGAATGCAGAATCATTTGAAAAATGGGTGAACGTTAATTTCCTCATAGCAGGAATCAGAAAACACAAATTTTCTTTGGGCGTACGCTAAGTGGAAGCAGCTCGGCCACCTCCTAAATATGGTCTTTGCCGCGTCTGAAACTGATATATGAGTAGTTATTAAAGGAGCTGCAAATCTTGCTTGAACTGAAAACTGAATGCATCTGCTGGTTCTTTTTATATGAGGCAATGCTTGTAGGAGTGCACACCCTGCAACTAGGATGATCTTGTAAGAGCTTTGAGTTTGTAGTCATCTGCCCTTTCCAGTTCTTCCTCTGTGAATATTTTAGGTATCAGTCTGGTTTGCCTTTGTGATATATTTTTCTCAAGTTAAATGAGCAACGTACTTTTTGCTTCTGTAATTTTAAATAACTTCTGGATGAGTCAATCATACCAATGCAATACTTTTCCTGAACTTACTTTTTTGTCATTTGAACTGCACGGGAGTTTAAAACTATAATAAGACTCGTTATTATACTTGTAGTGTAGGGTTCACTATCTATTTATTTCCCTCATGACATAACATTGTCATTTTACTTACTAACATGTGAGGATTTAAATTCATGTTTTTTATATTATTAAATACTTTTTAAATAAAAATGTATAAAATTCAAAAAATTATTGATTAGGATTTAAGATTTTTTGTTTTTTGAGATATTTCAATCGGTTCATCGTTTTGTGATTAATTTGATTAGGTTGTGATTAATTTGATTAGGGGTGATTTTGGGATCAAGCTTAATTTCATGGTGTCAACTGAGCTATAAAATAAACTCTTCTTTTTGTAAAGGGCTAAGTTTAAGTTGAGTTTATGAAGCAAACCTGAATTAAACCAAATTTGACTTGGTTGTTATGACGGAATTTAAAAGTATAAAAAGGTTTATAGAAGTAGTAATTGGCGTATAGCTGTGTTATAACGTAATAAAAAATAGTGGCTGCTACGCAACTTGAATGGCAATTATAGGCAAGTGAATGCGAAAATAATGTGCCAGTAACAGCTAGTTGATGTTGCTGGTTGGGAACTGATACCATGTTCCATATAGGGATGGATATATTTGGTTTCTTTAAATCTCACAGGGTGTCCTGTCCATGGTTTTGATCGTTGGTTACTTCGTGTCAAAACTGCAAGCTTTCTGGCTTTAATTTTTGGTAGCATGGTCCCCTCGGGATTGGTACTGACTTTAAATATAGCAAGCAGACTTGGTTATTCAGATATCGTGGACTTTAAATTTAGCATACTTGGTGACTCTGACAGCTGTAGTATATGACTCCTACCTTATAATTGCAAAATTGTATCTATGACTATGAGGATGTTAAGAAAATAAAAATAAAAATCTAAGATGGTATTAAGAAACAATTACAGTAGAGTCTTGGCTGTTATCAGCTGTGAGTAGTGTATGATTATCATCATTATGCAAGAGGAATAATTCCAAATCTTCATAGCTAATTTTTTAACAATTTTCTTAATTATTTAACAAAAGTATTAAATATTTTGTATTTTTAAATAATAAATTGATCTACTTTTTTTTATCAATTATTGAAAGAATTATTAAGAGAATATGTTAGAAGTATACAGCAATGTGGTGACATTATTGTTGCGTTTTAAAATTATTTGCTACAAACTTAAATTTCACGGTTCACCAGTTGCTCAATTGAAAAGCCACACCGAGTCGCCGACCCACAACCTCCTAATGGAAAGCGTGAAGGGGTACTGGGGTAGAGAACACAAAAGGTCTATTTGACTGTGTTTTGATTTATTTATTTTTGAATTTGGTGTTTGTCATTTTAAATGATAAAAGTTATGTCATTTTAAGAGAGAGATATACACAAGGAGGGAGAGAAAGTGAGTGATTTTTTTTAATTTAAATTTTAAATAAAAAATATTTTTTTGTATCTATCTCTCTCTTAAAATGATATAACTTTATGTCATTTAAAATGACAAACACTTTTTCCATTTTTTAAAGGGAAAAAAGTATCTAATGTTACTTTAGACATCTTTGTTAATGTTCAACAAAACGACGTCGTTTTGGGGTTGAAAAATTAAAAAATTAGAATGATAAAGACTATTATAACTCTGAAATAAATTAATATTACAAAAACACCATGATTTTCGTCCCAAAACGACGTCGTTTTAGTGAACATTAGATAAAGTTATCTAAAGTAACTTTAGAAAACACAAACCCTTTTTTAAAATTGTTTTGTAGAATAGTTATAAAGTATTTTATGTGTTTTTTTTATTTAAAAGTTGAAAGTAAAAACACAAAATAAAAATAAGTCAGACATGTTTTCTAAATTTAATTCTAAAAATAAAAAAACAGTTATAGTTTTTAATTATTATTTTTTATAAAACAGACCTTGCCTAACAAATTTCTTTATTTTTTTATTCTTAAAAAAAAAACTTTTTTTAAAAACGGTATTCAAACATGTTGAGTTTCATTTTTTCTTCTTCTCTCTCATTCGAATTACCTATCTGGTAGAGGCTAAGTTCGGGTGTAAAGGAACTATAATTAAAGTAAAGAATTTTTTTGTAGTCGAAATAGTTATTCCTTTGGGCTTCTAATCATATTGTTTCATTATTATTATTTCTTATTTCTTTTAGATGAAAAAAGTGATGGTATTAGTGTGCAAACTAAACATGAATAAAATACCATGTTTTAATTTATTTATTTTTAATGAAAGTTGTGTTATGGACCAGCATACGGAAAAGATTAGCACTCAGGTTGTCATACATTCCAACGCAAATTATCACATAATGTCATTTATCCGTTAGAGAAGTTGTGTCCTATTGAATACCAAAAAGAAAAAAAAAAGTTGTGTCCTACCAAAACATTATTGTTCTCAGGTAAACTTTAGCTATATATAGAGAGGTTTGCACGTTATAGGTGCAAACCTTGCAAACCCTATCCCCATCTGGCACCCTTGTGGGCATCTCCTCCTTTAGTGGAGGAGCTAGAGAGGGTTAGGATGTGCTATTATCCCCTTTCAAGTTCAAATAAGTTAAAGGGATGTTTGGTAAAAGAGAAATTATTTTTTATACTGTAATTATGATTTTCGGAAATATGGTGGGAAATGAGTTTTTTAGAAATGTTATCACAAAACTATTTAGTAGGTAAAAAATAATACCAAGAATATTGGATAAGATTCTTGATTTTGTCATCTTTTTCATCTATTTTTTTTTTATTTTCCCGGCATGGTCGTATTCTTCAATGGAATTTTCATTCACAATTTACACACAAAACGGATTCCCGGATAAATTTTCTGAAATGTGGTATCAAACATAATCTTCTTGGAAACCCTCCTTCACTTTTCTAGGTATCTCAAAAAAATCTTCCTACCAAACACGTTATTAAGGGTTATTTATCTTGTTTTTGGTCATATACAAAGTGATCCGCCTTCAAATTCATAGAAGTCTTTAGTTGTGAACAAGATTTTTGTTTCTTTTATCGTATAGATTGTTATTCTTACATGGAATATTGCACTTGCAATTTTATCTCTCATCACAAAAAAATTTGATTTGGATAAGAATGGTAGAAAGAGCCCAAAACCCTTACAAGAAAGAAATCTTTTACTAATAGACAAATAACAAACCACGATAAATAAATCAACACCACATCTCAACTCAAAACTTTAGGCTCAAGTTGCATGAATATTTTTTGCACTTATATGATACTCACTTAAAACATTTCTAATAGACATGAAACTTCTTACTATTCACACTTATTTCTAACAAGGTTTCGCCATTATCCTCCATAAAAAAAATTTGTCACTAGACCCAATATTAAATACGACGCTCTTATATCGAACAAGTAGTACGAGAAAAAGGGCATTTGAAGGCAAGTATGGTGCATTGTAGAAGCAAATATCGTTCCCAGGAACATTAGGCAACCAGTGGAAAATATATATCCGACAGATAAGAGAACTTTGAAGGAGAATGAGCTTATTTTGAGGCCTGAATTACTCCAGAAGTTAGAGTCTGGTGTTGAAAATAGAATGAGTAGTCATTGTCTACATAGACAAGTTTCCATTTCATTATATTATTATGGTCATAATGAAACAGAAGAGGTGGGTCATAGTCATGTTTGGTCAATTAGATAGACATTTACCTCAATGCCATTTCTTTCTTTCAATCATCAATCTAGGTGCTTCCGGAAGCAGTCATGGTTCATCCATGGAAATTCCACTTAGGCTCATATTCTTAATTAAGTTACGCTGTCTTTATCAATGTGCAAATGCAAAACCCAAATTCTAATGCAGTACTGCTTATAAATAAGCATGGAACGAACCTGTTGCAATTTTAAAACATTTGCGCAATACCTGGTGTTGCTCAACATTTTTATAACACATAGCCTTAGGGTTTCACATTTATTTTTTGGTTGCATTTTTTTATCTTTTTAAAATCAGTTTTGAATACATAAATTTTAATTAATTGTATTTATTAGAAACTACCTATAAAAATTCAAATCAGAAAAACGAAAAAAAAAAACTCTAATTTCTATTTAAAAAATGGGATAGGATATTGTAACAATCAAGTAGTGTTACTAACACCGTTAGATCGATTATATTGATCTAACAATTATATTTATTTTCATCTTTATATGGTTATGATTTTCCATATTTAATATTTAATATTTATTTTTACCTTTGTATGGTTATGATTTCCTATATTTAATGCTTTCACTTTAAATATGGGGAATCATAATCATACAAAGATGGAAATAAATATAATCGCTGGATCAACATAATCGATCTAACGGTGCAATTGATTGGTAGTAATATTGATAGTGACACTACTTGGTTGTTACAATATTCTTCCTCTTAAAAAATATTATTGAATTGAAATTTTGATATTTAAAAACTTTTGAAATGTATTTCCTTGGTCAGCAATGAACTAAAATTCTACCGCAACTAAGAAAATTGAAAAAAATAGTTATTTTCTCTTATAAAAAAATATTTTTAAAATTAAAATATAATATAATAATTAAGGTTAAGTCAAAGGATACTTTTTTTGTTTTTTAAGTGAAAACTTTCTGCAACCTACGTTTTAATATATAATATAGATTAGAAAATATTGTATTTCAACTTCAGTTTTATGAATTTTTTTCTTGTGTGTTTGAGAAAAGATCATTTCTTCTTAATTTTCTTCTTAAGTCAACGTGATTATAATAAGGGTTTAAGTTTTCTCATGTTGTAGGATAGTAGGAGAGAAAAAAGTAGAGAGGAGTTAAATGTTGGTCCCATCTTTTATATTAAAAAAGAAAAGAAAAATTAATTGGCACGGAAAACGAATTTGTGTAGGAAAAAATGTTACTCTCATGTAGCATGAGAGTATTATTTCCCTTATAATAAATATGATTAACTTTGAAGAAAAGGTTTACTTTTTTATTTTCAAAACAAATTAATATTCTGAAGTTTTATTTCTTTGATTTGATCGATTATTTGCCTGCTACTCAAGTTTCATAGCTAACAGAAATTGCAGGCATTACAGTTGTGACGACAGAGCAAGTGTGTTTTCTAGGACCGACCTCTATTTTCTTTCTGTTTTTCGTTCTCTAACAATAATTCATATTGGTAGTTATTTTATTGAGTTTTATAAGAGCTACATTGTAAGAAGAGTTATTGTCTAATGTTATAGAGATTCATTTTATGTACCGTAGTTTTTTTTATTTTTTTTTCTTCAAAAAGTGTGAGCCCTACAAAATGTTGTGTGTAGGAAAATTTATTGTGTCATATTAAATGACAAATGCAAATCCCTATTTTATTATGTAATTAGCTGTTTATGCTTCTAGCTTTATCTGTTTGTCACATGAGGTACCCTACCTTTGTACACTTACAATCCACGTGAAATGAGGTCTCTACTTTGTGACTCGAACACAAGCTTGTACACTGCAAGAAACATGGCTTCTTGCTCAGTCATAACCGTCAAGTGACGGAGTCAGGTTGCGACTAGCTCGGACTTTGACACTGGCTTGATTTTTTAAAAATAATATAGATTTTCTTTAAATATTATGATACAGTTTTGGTATTTGTTAAGTTTTCAAAAATGGTAGAGTCTTGCCACTGACTTTCTTTAAATATTATGGTACAGTTTTGGTATTGGTTAAGTTTTCAAAATTAGTACGATCTTGCCACTAATTGAGTTTTACCTAGCAGGATTTATTTATACGGACTAAAATTATTTCCTGACTCAGCCCCTAGCCAACGCTCCTTTCCCCCCTTTCTTTGCTTTTTTTTCTTTAATATTTTACAAATTTATCTGTGTAATACCATAAAAAATAATTATCTCATTTGAAAACAAAATTTATTGAATAAAAATCTATTAATAATTTTTATATTATATATTTGTGTAACATAACTCTTATTCAGTATTACCACCTGATCAACTATTGGATTTTTTTTTTTTTATCATTATATATATTGGTGATTTTATATATAGCTAGGAGCCATATCCCATATTATAATCGAAGATGTCGCTTCTATTTTATTCTATCTTAATGTTCTTTTAAAAATTTCTGTGCAAAAGTAGATGCATCCAAGTGGGAAGAATATATATAGGACACAGCAAACGGTGAATAAGCCCCCACATGCTAATATTAATGCCGGCAGAGTTTGTGACAGAGAGGGGGTGAACCACTGGACATAACATAATTAATATAGCAAGCAGGTGAAAAGGGAAAAAAAAAAAAAATTTGGGGTTATCTAATAATTGTACTTTGCATCATCACACTAGCATTTTGGAGCATTTTCAGGTGGCACTTGCAACTTTCTAACCTTTCTAAAAAGACTGAAGATGGGATTTGTCAACTTTTGTGGCTTTGGTCTCTTAAGTTTATGGTTTCATGTTTGCAGTAGCTTCTCATTTGACCTTTAGGTTGTGACGCAATCAACTAAATTTAAAGCTTAAATTATTAGGTGACATTGTGAGAAAGAAGCAATTAGATCTATATTTCTATTGTTGATTACATTAGCATTTTCATGACAAGGTTACTTTAAATAATGGCTGCTAGTCATTCATTTCTTTTAATTCATAGCATACATCATCTATTAATGTATTATTAGAAATTTAAGGAAGATATTTTAAAGAAGAAAACTATCAACTAAAATGAGATTTTTCATGTTAATTCATCAATAGAATGAATACAGACGAAGTACAATTCACAAACAATGTGATCAAGGAACTTGTGGATTCCTTGTCTTCTCAATTTGACATGCACAATTTATGTTAAAAAGTAAAGACTAGTCTCTTCTTTTTTAATGATCGGATGTTAGAAAAACTATCCATATGAGTTGGAGACATTTTTTTTTTATATAATAAGTTCATATCCTTTTACCAAAGCTTGCTTACATAACCTGTCCTAGCACACCTCTCACAATTGCTAATGTGATTACTTGAGTTTGACAGGTGAAAAAAAATATTGAGATGCAGTAGTTTGTGCATAATTTATGGTAAAAATTTTATATATGAATATAATTATATTCATCGTAGGGTCATTTCTATATGAGGGTTAAAATGGAAATAAAATTCGTAAATTGATTTTCAATATAATTTTACTGATAAAAATCACCCATAAATTTTTTACTATCATTTTCACACCATACCAAATCAACCCATTTGAATCCTGTACAATTCTTGCATAACCCCAGTTTGTTTTTCAGATTTTATCTATTCTGTTTTCATGACCACATAACACATTAATTGTTTTCAAAATAACAATTTCCTACAAAATAATCACATAAAAAGAACTAATTAGCATATTTGTGTTAATTCTTTATTTAGCTAAAATGATCGCATTTATACTTTTTTTTTAATAGAAAATTCTGGATGATACAAGAACAAAAGTGACACGTGAGAGAGTTTAAATCGTCTAGAACAGAATTCCAGTTGGATTAGTAAAGTTAATTGATGAACGGTAAAAATATTAAAAAATAAAAAATTAATTGGGTCTATGATACGCAGCAAAGCTTCAAACAATGATGATTCAATCTCAATTTTGGACTTTCCTCTTGGGCCTGCATAACTATGCTGGTGATTAGTTTTTGGGCATCTTGCAAAGGCGCATATAACATAGTAGACTTGCTACGTTCTGGGATCCAAGTATCCAACGGCAAAGCTATCACTGGCCCAAAAATGAACATGGCATGAAGGGCAAACGGGTAATAAACTTACGGAGTGTTTGGTAGATGAGAAATTTTTTTTTATCTGGGAATCACGATTTTCAGAAATATGATGGGAAGATGAGTTTTCTGGGAATGTTACCAAAAAGTTGTTTGGTAGACCAAAATATTCCTGAGAATATTGGGTTAATTTTCTTGATGCTATGTTTAGTTGTATTAAATTTTCCCTTGCCATAGAAATCTTAGAATACCACCCCTGGATGGTATTTTTTAAAAATTTACACACAAAATAAAATTCTGTGAAAATCATATTCCCGGAAAAATTTTAAAATTCTTATACCAAACGTGGATAAATACAATTACTACTGAAATCCAAAAAAAAAACTTGTAACAAACACCCCCTACATTTATTTTGCACATACATTGTCTACGTAACAAGGTGACAATTTTAGAACCATTCATTCATTCTTGATTCTTAGCATATTGGCTTGGCTCTATCTCTTTTAAACCAAACGGTTACCTATGAAAGAATTTGGTTAATGATAATTTGTAAATCAAGTCATGTAATTGACAAAATCATTCACTATTTATGTTGATTTACATATTGTCACTAAACGTTTACATATCATATGAAAAATCAGTTATTCATCATAATTTTAATAACAGCTCGTAAAATGGAAAAGACAATTTTTTTTATTTTAATTACTAACCATTGATTTATTAATAAATAATTAAAAAGATTTATATGACATGATCATGATAAAATTATCATGATCGTTTGAGGTAGAAAAACCTCTAAAATTGATGATTATTGTCAAGAGAAAATTGCCTTTATAAGAAGTTTCTTTTGGTGGACTGATTTACTGCTCTTTTCTCAACCAACGGCACAGACACAAAATTAATTGTAGAAATCAAAAGAATAACTGCAATCAAGATTCTTTTACATTTCTCCAAAATAAAATAATCTGCATGCATAAGTCAACAAATATCCAAATACTCAATGTAATTCAATGACTCAAAATTATCCAAGAAGAATATACCAACACTTGATGACAACATTGTGTATTTCCTCCATTTTGCAGAAGGGAAGCTTGTATCACTGCTTGTTGCTCCTACATAAAAAAAGACCACCATGTAGAATTCCTATAATATAAAATAAATAAATAATATTAGTAATTGTGTGTGCAAAAACATTGAGCAATTCCAAGATGCTTATTGAAAGGAGAGGTGGCATAAACAAAGACAGACCACACTACCCAAGAAATTGTTTTGGCAATGAACATCATACTTAGGGTAATAACAAATAAAGCATATATAATGTCCTCACAACAGGGTATAAGTAGACAAAGATTTCTTCAATAATTTGTTTAAAAAGATCTATGGTTTTATGGTCTACCAAGCCGTAGATGCAGTATGAAAGATGCATGCTCCCAGAGCTGGATGAAAATAAAAGCAAGAAATAGTGTTGAAAAATAAACTGTCTTCAGCTAGATGAGTCGTAACAATCATGTTACTATAATAAACTGTGCATCAAGTTTAACTTAACTCCTCAAGATTTTTAACATTAAGATCATACTACACCTTCAAGAAAAGAATCAGTCACAACACAAGCAAATATCATAAAAAAAAAGGCAGTATATAAAATATCACTAATAACCTAGCTATTATTTTCAGAACCTTCAAATGTAGCCTTCATTATGGTTCAAGATGGAAAACCTAGAGCTCAACATGTCATAATGGGGCACCTTTCAAACTATATGGGTATATAGAAGCATTATATTCCTGTAAACCAATCAAACTATATACTTCAGGAACTGCATATGTACAACTTCTTGCGAGGAACTCTGGGTTCATTTCAACCCCAGCAAAGGACTAAGTGAGATTCAAAAGAAAGAGAGAAAATGGCGCCACTTGTTTGAGGAGGTCCGTATACGGGGAGAAGGAGGACGAACTGATACTGAAGCCAGCATTTGAACAAAAGCATTAAAGCAATTAATTGAACAGCCACAGCTTTTAAGTACCAAAATCAAGAGGTTGATCCTGCCTATTTATTATTTCTCTTTTAAAAAATATATTAATAGTTATAGCCATAAAGCAACCATTTACCTAAAAGCTTAAGCCCTCGAAGAAAAGTTTTGGGCTTGAAGTATATATATTGCACAAGCTTTTTCTTCTTCTTTTTTTATTCTACTTGTCCTGACTTAATTCTATTAAAAAATTAGAGGCGGTGAGGATCAAACTCACTTCTAGCTCTGATATTATATAAAACAATCATTTCACTTAAAAACTTAAGCGAATAAGTGATATGCTTTTAATAATTAGATCTTGCTCTCAGCATAGATTCTTATAGAACCATAACGCCAGATAAATTGTCAAAACTCAAAAGTGTTGTCCATGTTTTATGAATCATACAAATGGGACAGGTTATATTTATAAACTTTTTTGATTACAAACTTTTACAAACTACACTAAGTACGACCAGTCATACTTTAATCATGCAGTGTACGACCGGTCGCACTTAGCGTAATTTGCAAAAAAAATTTGTAAACGAATCTTATCCCTATATAAATATGGATTGATATTGAATTCCCAGCTTAATTTTGCTATTGAATCTAGAATGAACTGGATACCATTAAACTCAAAATGGCAAAAACTAAATATAATACACACATTCATAGAAATTTCAATTTTTTTCTCTTCTTATATAAAAATAATTTATTTATCTTTACGTAACAGTTTAAATTTTTTTGAGATAGTTTTTTTTATATATATTGGTGGAAATTGAACATATAATCAAATACAAGCTATCTAAATCCCTCGCCACTAGACTAACATGATGACTTTTTTTTTTTTTTTGAGATAGTTGATTTATGATATGGTATCAGCGGATTGTTGTCCCTCTATTTTTTAATAAATATTATGGAGTTTTGTAAGGCAGGTAGATATTTTCACCTAAAAGCTTAGAGTTAGGGAAGAATTAATTTATGAGAATTACCACTACTACAACAATGTATGATAACTATCCATTCCATCTTCTCCTTTCCTTCTGTTCCAATTCCTTTAGCCTTTTCAATGTCTTATTACAATCTTTTCAACCAATAATCATTTCAATAAATCAATACAGCCTACACTTTTTCCAACAATGCTTTCATTTTATCAAATGAAGTTGGTCAATTTTAACGGCTACTTGAGGTTAGCTCTGACTTTCACATCTATGCTTATAGTAGATCATATCTTTCAATTTTATTTTATTTTCACTGTAATCATATCTTTTGTTCTTATTAAGGAAGAGTTTCAAGTATTACAGGATAAAGTCCCATATTCATTTCAAGATATACAAGATTGCCAAGTTAAGATTGTAACCTGACCAACGACCACAATTATGCACGCAATCAGCATGACAAGCAAAGATTTAAATGCGGATTTTTTATTTTATTTCTTTTATTACTTCTTGAAAAAGGAAAATGTCCAACCAATTTTATTTGGAAATTTTCAACTTTTGGAAGACAACGGAGGGGATGTAAAGAACCTTGGGATACATCACCCCAAAAGCTAGCTCAAGGGGTGGGAGTGCCCAAGGACTTATAAAGGCCTCATTAGTTGCCCACATAATCAATGCGGGACTATATATCTCAACACGCCCCCTCACGCAAGAGCCCTTTGGGCTAGAAGCGTGGAATTGCACAGGCCCAATTTTTGTTTACCTTTTTGTGCTTTTTATTTTTAATTTCACTTTTTTAAAGTGGGAGGCGGTGAGGGCTCAAGCTCTGATACCATGTTAAGAACCTTGGGATACACCACCCCAAAAGCTAGCTCAAGGGGTGGGAGTGCCCAAGGCCTTATAAAGGCCTCATTAGTTGCCCAGATAATCAATGCGGGACTATATATCTCAACAGGGGATGGCTTTGCTTCAATTGCCTTTGTTTTACCTCAATTCCAAGATAGTTGTTAGGTGTCGGGCCAAAAGTATGTTAAATATTGTTTAACACGGTCAAAAACATGGTAAATATTATTAGATGCAAAAGAGTTTTAAAGTTTTCGTGCTTGGTAAGATACTGATTGAAAATGTATTGGTTTCAGGTTAAAGTTGTTATATTGGAGCAACGACAGATCAAGGAAACCTGGAGGACGAAACTCAAGCAACCTCATTCTTGATGGCTTGCTCGCTCAAGCGAGCATCTTGAATTTCCTCGCTGAGTTGATCGCTTTAGCAAGCAATTGAGCAAGCAGGACACCAGTAGCACGTAATTTTCAGTATTCTCGCTAGTTTGCTCATTTCAGTGAACAAACGCGGCAAGCTTCTCGTAAAAAGGCCCATGAATATTTTCATTAAAAAAGGAGCGAAACGGGGCGAATTAGTATCAGTTTTTCTGCGATTTGGGGAAAAAAGCACAATTCTTGGAGGATGAGGCAAAGGAAAAGATCAAAGCTTCACCGTGGAGATCGACAACTGAGTTTCTTTTATGGATTTTTCTAGTTTTTCATTTATTCTCTTAGTTTCTCTAACTATGTCAAGCTAGGTTTTCTTGTAGTTAGGGTTAAATGGAACCAATGAATTCTTAATTATGTTTACTCCTTTCCTTTCAATTTAATATTTAAACTTTCATATTATTCAATTATTCTGCGTTTCATTCTTAATTCTTTTGTGAATTGACCACTCATGGAAGGAAACTTGAGTTTTGCATGACAATAGAGACGTTGATGTGAAATTCCAATCTAAATAATTATTAGGCTTTGTTTGATCTAGGGATAGACTAATAGAGCCTATGATTGTGTTTGTTCATCGTTCTTAATGCTTGCCCTGAGCTGAATTACTAAGGGATTAGCATTCTTAATAGGTTAAAGAATTGAAATACCAAGAGATTGGATTTAATTAATTTGTTATGAACTTTTCAACATGAGTTTGAATGTTAATTGAAGGAAAGGGTAGACTGATTAGGAGAAAATTGGAGAAGTTGAAACCCTAGCTATGCTTTTGCATAATTAATCTTTATTCCTATTTTTAGTTTGTGTTCTTGTTCTTGTTCTTGATTGTTCTTTGGTAGTTATAGCTTACGTTTTTATATTTTAATCATATTCACAATTATTATTTCGGTTGATCCAACTTTGGTAGAGTAGTGAAAATAGTACTTGATAGATCAATCCTTGTGGAGATGATATCCTACTCATCATTTTATTACTTGTACGACCAGTGCACTTGCTGTGATCGCAACAATAATACCTCGTGATGATGATGTCCGTTAGCTCAAACTCTTTAGTTAGTTCACTAGATAACTTCAAACATCATTTGGTTGTTGTGTAAAGATTACATCATCCAAGTACAGACTGACTAGCTGGATGTCTCAATGCTCATTCATCTTGACATAAAGTGAGCTAATTGAGATACTTCATAAAGTTGATTTTACTATCCTAAGCTCTTAGTGCCTGCTTCAGGCCACAAGGAGTTTTTGATTTCATTTCCTTTCACCTCAAACATTTGATTTTTCATTTCCTTTCACCTCAAACATTTGATTATTTAATATAAATTTCTTCTCTATAGAATGCATTTAAAATTAATTTGTGGCTACCCTCTTTTAAACAATTTTAAGATGTCACCGTTGTCTTTTATTGCCATATATATTCATCTCAAAAGGTGACTTGGCCTTTGGTTTTCTCCCTTTCGAAAAATAAGCTTCTATCACCACTCATATGCTTGCCTTATCTTAATGAAAATTAGCAATTAGTAATTAGTAAAATGAGTTGACTTCATCCTGCATCTCCACATGTTTAGCTCTCTCATCTCAATAATCTTGAGAGACCAATAGAGTATTCTCACGAATATATTAACTACTATAATTATCTTTGGTGGGACAAGAAATATAGCTTTAGTACCTCTTTCTTATGGGCTTAATTTGATAGGAAAATGCTGTAAAATATGTTTGAAACAAAAGATTTAGAGAAAGGGAATTGTGAGAGAGTAGTTTTGTATTGATTTGGAACATGCATGCCTTGAAGTTACAAGGCATGGCACATTCCGGATTTCCCTTTCATACCAACAAAAAAATATAAACAAATATTCACTAACATATTCTCTACTATTTATTTGTCTCTTATCTCTCCACTCTACTATGCCCCCTAGATTTTTTTTTAACGAAGATGTTTTTTGGAGGGTAGATCAAAAAAACTAGCTTTGTCAAAAATGAACTCATGCATAATTAGTAGTACAGTTCTAATTAAATTTTATGTCTTCTTAATTCTCATTTATATTTTTAATTATTTTTTTCTACGTTCAATCATTCAGTGATGAAGAGACAAATACGTCTTAGTAAGAATCATGATATATTCTTTCTGTTCACACGAGTGGTAACATGAATATTAGACTGATGAATTTCATATAATAAGAAAAAAAAAGTACATATATACGGGCGAGTACAGAATTTATATTTCCAAAAAAAATAATAAACAATGTATCATCTAATAGTTTATTATACATAAAAAAAAAAAAAAAATTTAAGCCTAAGTATGTAAAAATAATATTAATTTTCAATTAGCATTCTAACTACTAATTAAAAAGTGGGTTATTCTTGTTAACTACAGAAGTACAGATTACTCCTTGTCTGCATGTAGACACTTGTTTGAGAATCCATTACTTTTATGCTTGAAGAGTCAAGTTCTGCCTACGTGCATGGACCTTTCACCATACAAAAAAGTCCAATTAACTATGCTAATATTCTGCCTAGGAGGACCTGACAACGCGCCGATTAGATTCATGTCATGTAGTGTAGCTAGCTTGGGGAGTGAAATGAATTGGGATTGTAAAGCCATTTTAGACTTTGGTTTTGTAACAAAGTGATCGACCGTGCCTAATCTAATCTACGCATGGCATTTGCCACAAAAAAAGCTTACATCTGGCACGGACTCACCGATGCCAGAGAGAAGGGGAACCAAGGACAAAGATAGAACAACAGAGGAGACAACCCAGTGGAAAACCCTATTCACTGCAATCCATGCAGGAATTAACAAAAAGACAAAAAAATATAAAAAAATAAAAACAGATAGCATCTCATAAAACTATGTTCAGTGGCCAATTTGTTTATGACTACCAAGAAAGCCAGCGGCTCATGGCATTGCACACAACACATTGATAAATTCAAAAGCTGGCATTATCTTTTAAAAAAAATAAAAAACACATAATTAAATATGGGATATATTATTCTATCTGCTTTTTTTTATATCTATCTTATTTATCATTCTTCAACACCGTTCGATCAGAATTTCAATTAACTTTTATTATTTCTCTCTTTTATTAAAATTCTGATTTAGTGTATTGTAAAATAATAGATAAAATAAGCTTGAAAAAGAAACATTTAGAATAACTTATCACATTAAGTATTAATTATCTTGTATCCTCCTAGGTTTACCAAAGAGTAAAGCATGTCAAAGGGGAAGGGAAAAAAAAAGGACAGCAAATTAACCACAGATATCATAACATTACCAAACATAAACAACATTCCGAGGGGAAAAAAAATGACAAATGGTTTTATCAATAAATCTAAAATGTAAGGAAAACATAAAAAAAAAAAGATGAAAGGGCTTAAATTTTGGTCTTACCAGGAAGAAGATGAAGCAAGAGAAATGCGGTGTTCCAGGAACTCAGTTCTTGCCTTTCCCCTTCTGATCTGAATGCCGGGTTGCGTCGCCATAGCAGAGTTGCAAGCGACCATCGAAGACTGGTGAGAACTGAAGGTGGTGATTGTTGTCGACCATGGTTGAAGCAGCAGGTGGAGCAGCTCCTATGAAGAAAGGTACATTGGATGATCCGTCTAAAGGTGAAAACCTCTGCGGGTGAGGCAAAAGAGACGGAGAATTGGACTGAAGGGTCCCCCTATTATAACCAGCAAGGCCCGAAGATATTGTGAAGTTGAGATTGTATTCATTCACGCTTGGCTGAGAAGAAGAAGTAACCACAGCTGGTACAAGATGATGATGATTATTATGGTCATGCATGAAAGAGAAGTGCTGCTGAAGTTGATCTGAGTGGTTTTCATTTTCACCAGTGAATGGTGAAACCTGAAGGGAATGTCCCAGTTGGATTTGTCCTGAGAAATCAGAAGATGATTGATGGGTTCTTGAAGAGGAAGGTCCCACCAGAAGGCCTGAGTTAAAGTAGTCCATGGCTGTTGTTGCCTTGTTGAATAGATTAGGCTCATCACCACCATGGATCTGATGAACTGAACCATTGGGACTTGTAGTGGTTGGAACTGTTATTGTACTACTACCAATCCCACTAGCTAGGAGCTCAGTGAAGGAAGTAGTTTGAGACATGGGGTGGTGGTGATGATGATGATGTGCAATGCGAGACTCGTTCTCTTTGATCTCCTTCTCTTTCTTTTTTTCTTTTGCTGCTCTTTCCCTTGCTCTCTCCCTTGCCTTGACACGGTTCACACGGATCTCAGACCGTGAGAGGGATAAGCCAGAGCCTTTGCTTGTCTCCGAAGTGCTGCTACAAGCAGACTTAGACAAAGAAAGGTTCTGGCTTTGGTTCTGATGGTGGTAGTTGATCATATCTCCATCTACCTCATCAAAGCCTTGTATATCACTTGGCCTTTTCTCACCACTAGGTTGCTTTGGCGTATCGGGGAATGTGTTGTTGAGAGAAGGGAGTTCATGAATGGAATCTGCTGCAGCTTTGATTAACCATTCAACAGCTTTACTGGGTTGGTCATAACCAAGGCGATCTTGAAGGTCATAGAATTGAATAGCTGTGGTCACCGAGAGCCGAACCCTTCGGTCTCTTAAACCCTTTGAAGTCATGACCTTGCTGTGCCTGTCTTTGCCACCAGATGCTCGAGATACCCTTACTATTCTTGAAGAGTGGTGCCAACCACTTTGGAAAAGGTTTGTGCTTCCATCGCTGCCACCACAAGTACTTCCTCTCCTTCTCACTTCTCCATCTTCTTCCTCATCTTGGTATTGCTCAATCCCTCTTCTGCTGGAACCTATGATCTTGTTTGACTGGTTTCTACCATTTCCAACTCTTGGGAACTTACACGCCTGTGCTTGAATCTCATCCTCCTCCATATCACAATCATGCCTTTTTCAACAACAGAAGCTCAAGCTAGACAACCCCCCCACTCTTATCCTCATAGAAAGTAGAGAGAGAGAGAGAGAGAGGGTAATAGAGGTAGTAGAGAGTGCAGGGTTTGGTGAGGTTGCTATGTGCTTTGCATTGATGACGATAATTCAGAGACTACTTTGGCTGCGTAGTGATAAAAAGGCCTTTTTTTTACGCACCGATATATCACCGTCCAAGTCTGAGCCCTCGTTAAAGCTTTTTCTCAGTTGCAGAAAGCTTCCAAAAGCAAAAGACTGAGAAGTGAGAAGTCTTACTGTCTCAGAGCCTCAGCCTCACCTCCTGCACACCAAAAGCAACAAACACCACAGGCACAAGAGCACCCCCAAAAAAAAAACTTTTATTATCATCACCGAAAAACAAGAGAAATTTTTGTTTTTTTGTTTCTTTTTTCTTTCAATGAAGCTCTCAGAACATTCTCAGGCTCACTTATTACACAGCAGACACTAAAAAGTAAAAGCCTAAACGTTTTATTAAAAACTTTAAACATTAACACAAGGGTACCTTCGATCTGAGTCTTTGTGCTTTGTTTTTAAGCTAAAGCAGCAAATTTTGCATATGGGTCGCCGATCTGTGCAAAAAACCCTTTTAGCTTCTGCTTGTATTTCATAGCAGACATTATGCAAATCTCATTAGACAGCACAACACAAAAAGGTTCATTATGGCTTAGTTTGCAAATTACAATTCTAAAAATATGTAACCACTATATCTGAATTGCCCGGTTAGACTTAAATAAAATGATTAAAGTGGTTCAAGCTTGTTTACTTTGAATGCTGTTGGATCGGATTCGGCGAAAGGTGTTAAGCTCTCGAGCATAGAAAGGGACAAGAAATAAACCCTGTGTTGATTACACAATTGCAGTGAGTCAGTGAGTTCTTCTCACAGCTCACAGATCTGTGTGCCTGCATTTCCCATTAATGAAACGAAATGAAAAGGGAAAATAAAAATCAGAACCTGCAAATTTCACCTCATTAAAAAGCATAACATTTTCAGATAAGTATACGTTCCACCATTTTGTCAACAAAAATAAATAAATAAATAAAGTAAAAACTTCCATCCAACTTAAATTTATATGAATTTGAAAGAAAATCAGAATTACAAAAAATCAAATAGAGACAGAAGTAGCTTCCTTCAGGAATGGTTGAATTTACCAAATGTTCTTGCTTGCTTCTCAAGTGTACCTTAAAATGCAAAACATAAAGAAAAAAAAAAGTTAAGATTTATTTTACTCTCCCTCTATCTAAAATGAACAAGCTTATGTCCAAGATAAGACGTCAAATCCACTACCTAAACATAGAAGCATGCTTTTGAGCTGAATTTGGAGTTTGATTCATACTTAAAAGTAGCTTTTTTTCTTTCTCTGCACACGTAAAAATGAAACTTTGGTTATAGAGTGAGCAAGAGAGAGAAGAGAGACATAAGAATGCTCTAGTGGTAAGAAAAAAGGAAAAAAAATATAATAAAAAGTAATGGAAAATTCGGTGTATTGAGAGAGAGTGTGTGTGTGCGCGCGCGTGCAAGAGAGAGAGAGAGAGTACAAGGTTAAGCTCAAAGTGTATTAAGCTGAAACATGAAGTGAGGAAGAAGAACATGGACGAGAGGAGATTGTTCCTCGTTCCAACAAACCACCGGGCTTATCGGGAAAGGGCAGACACTGCGCCGTTCCATACTTTATGTAACTCCATTCCTTAACATTTTTGGCCCTGCTTTCTCTCTAATTTACACATTTACCTTGCCAAAAAAAATATTATTATTTTGATTGATTCATGATATATGCATTTGTTATAATATAATAATCAACTGAATATTAAAATTAGATTAATTTGCATCAACTTTGTTGTTATTCGAGGACTTCTATTCGAATTTTTCTTCTCGCCAGATTATTGTTCATTTGTTTGGTTGATATAGGAATTTTTTTTTATTTAATTTTTGTTTCCCCCTTTGCGACCTTTTGCCATGTGCCCTTGGGCTTCTTTTAAAGTGGGTGGTCTTTCTTTGTTCTTCTGAAAAGCTTTCAATTATTTTACTTTTTTTATGTATAATATAGTATTTAGTGTATTATTTATATCTATATTTAAAAATAAATGTGCTGCTCTTTGTCAAAAGCTTCCGTATGATTCGTTAAAATAAGATAGGCTGAGATTAAAATATGAATTTAATATTTTTAATATTATATGAAGTAATTTTATCTTTTATATACATATAAAAATATATGGTTGTATCCAAAAAATAATATGTGGGGCTCATGTGAGCTCACATGAAAAAAAAAAAAAAATATAAACTCTATAAATTTTATATATATAAAAGATAAATTTATTTCTTATAATATGAAAAATATTAAACACTTAAAATATATGACAAAACTAATGACCTAACAAATGGAAACAAAAGCCGAGGAAGAGTGGAAAAAAAAAATACGTTTTATGAAATAGTAGTAAAATCACTCTATTTAATATTTATGTTACCTACAAGGCTACAACATCTAGGGCCGGCAAAATGGGCTGAGCCCGCCGGGCTGGCCCGCCCCGCCTGCCAAATGGGGCGGGCTGGGTTGAGTCTTTCAACCCACCAGCCCGCCAAACCCGCCAGCCCATATGGGTCAGCCCGCCACAGGGCGGGCTAGCCCGCCAAGTCTTTTTTTTTTTTTTTTAGGTTACCCAATTGTTATGTAGCTCCGTATCTTAGATTTCTCTGCTTGCAAGTGGCTTTTTTGAATTGTTGTGGACTGCTCATACAACACTTTGTTACTTGTTTTGTTATTCTATTTTATCCTGATATGATTTTATTTTTTTATTATTATTTTTGGATTGAAAGATGCATATTTATATGCAGATTATTAAACACTGATCTTCTTGGTTTCATAAGCACATTAGGATTTTATACAGATTTTTGTATGCTTTTATGCAGATTTTTTTATGTGATTTTATGCAGAATTTAATTTTTTGTATTTTATTTTTATATTTTTTTTATTTTAGGCGGGCTGGCCCGTAGCCCGCCAGCCCACTCATAAAACGGGCCGGGTTACTCAATTCAACCCATTTTATCAAAACGGGCCGGGGCGGGCCAGCCCATTTTGGACGGGCTAGTGGCGGGCCGGGGCGGGCTGGCCCATAAAGCCAAATCAATTTATTTCAAATTCAAACGATCAACGATAAGAACTCAAAAGGTTGTGGTATACAAAATGGACTTGGCCAATTTTCAACCATTCTTTTCAGGATATTATAAATTAAAAAGATAAAAAATAATATAATTTTAAAAAAAAAATTAGTCCAAAAATACAAAGTAATTAGCATGACAATAACTTGGAAATTAAATCTTGCTTTTATTAAGAATAGGAGTGTAACACCCTCAAATCCTGTAGCATGATATTGTCCGCTTTGCCCCGCGCACAAGCACCGTCGAGCTCACGGTTTTGTTTCTTGGGACACCCCACAAAAGGTCTCACACTAGAAGAGGTATCAACACCCTTATAAGGCATGCTTCGTTCCCCTCTCCAACCGATATGGGACATTACATCCTCTCCCACTGGGAATACAGCGTCCCCGCTGTACACACCGGTCCAGGGCCAGGCTCTGATACCAAATGTAACAGCCCCAAACCCTGTAGCATGATATTGTCCGCTTTGCCCCGCGCAGAAACACGTCGAGCTCACGGTTTTGTTTCTTGGGACACCCCACAAAAGGCCTCACACTAGAAGAGGTATCAACACCCTTATAAGGCATGCTTCGTTCCCCTCTCCAACCGATGTAGGACATTACATCCTCCCCCACTGGGAATACAGCGTCCTCGCTGTACACACCGGTCCAGGGCCAGGCTCTAATACCAAATGTAACAGCCCCAAACCCTGTAGCATGATATTGTCCGCTTTGCCCCGCGCACAAGCACCGTCGAGCTCACGGTTTTGTTTTTTGGGACACCCCACAAAAGGCCTCACACTAGAAGAGGTATCCACACCCTTATAAGGCATGCTTCGTTCCACTCTCCAACCGATGTGGGACATTGCCTGTGACCAACACTCTCTTGTGTTGCTTCAAATTGTCATAACTTGGGCTACAGTGCTCCGATTTGAGCACGGTTTGAAGCCACGTGTAGCTAACGAAGAGATCTACAATATAGTAGAAGTTGTGAAATAAATAAGAAGTAAGTTAAGGGTTTTAAGAATGGAATAAGAACACGATGTTAAGCTCGATTTATCTGATTACGCAAGGTAATTTGGTTATGATCACGAAATTGGGCATTATAAATTCGGCATGTTTTAAAATGAAAAATTTATCCGAATTTTAATTGAACCCATGTGATTGTAATTGCGCTTAATATCATAATGGGATGTTAACAAACCGGTTCTAGAACGGGGTGTTACAAGGAGGATTTAGGATATTTGAAATGTAAGGCCATTTTGAAAAGAAAAGAAAAACTGAAACAGTCAAAAGAAATAGCGTATTGAAAAATAAAACTTAAACACTCCAAGCCTAGTAGTCTAGCAGTGGTAGTTGTTACGCAAAGATTTGAATAACCCTTTTGAGTTTTATAGCTTCCAATTCCAAATTCTCAACACTGTATAAAAAAAATTTATAAAATATAAATTTTTTATTTACATTAAATTATATATATATATATATATATATATATATATATATATATATACTTACTTACTTGAGTGTACATTTTCCGGAATATATAATATAATTTATAAAAATTTATAAATAAAAAATTTATAAATATAACATTTACCTTAATTATTCAAACAAGCCTGTTTTTACGATTTTCAGTGGATTTCGAAGGACACAACCACAAGCCACAATCTAACATGTACCATTTGTTACTACATGTGGACAATATATCCGTCTCACCTTAACTAGAATCTAAATTATAAGGAGACAAGTATCACACCTTTCTCTAGCAAATAGGTCAAATATGCAGTACATAATGTGCCACTAGCAAGCAGCCAAAGTGTATTTTGAATTTGAAACAGCTCAAGTGTGTTTGATAATGGATCTTTAATTTATTAGCCCCACATATTTCAACATAAGTTTAGGTACTACTTAGACAACAAGAATATGCATGACACTGAAGACTGGTGAACCAATCTAATTAAGCTGCCAATTTTGCAGTTTCATGTTATTGTGTGGGGTGTTTTATTATGACATGAGGTAATAACATCTTCAGTTCTTCCGGTATTCCTACGTGTATGCATCTGTGTGCAATTGGGATAAATTAACTAGCTCATTAACTAGAACTTAATTACTTGCAAGAAATTTAAAGAGAATGTGAACTGACTTAATGGGCAACTACAAAAAATTCAAAGTCATTATAAAATAATAGTCAAACAATTATATGTATCATATATACTGTAATGTTGTGTGTGAGAATTCATATTAATTGAAGTTTTCACCCCCAATTTATAAATTAATATACAGATACATCATGAGTATCATGTTTTAATGTACAAAATAAACATTTTCAAATTAACATTATATTCTTTTGAAACCAATCAAGCCATTGATAGTATTTCTGCCTAAAGCAGCTTAGTACCTAATTAGTTTATCTCTATAATCCAATCATGATACGTTAATCAAATTAAAACTAAATAAAAAATAAAATAAAAATCAACCGATCTATGGAAATTTACAATAAAATCTGAAAGTGTAACTATATGTATAACCATTCCTACATGATTGTCTCTCAAATTATACCACTTATGTACAAACTTATTCATCAACATGACTTGGTAGCAATTTATCCCTAATTAATTATAGCATTTGATGCCACTGCTATAACTAGAAGAAATAAAGTCTCTCATAAATGAAATCACAACATCATAATATGCTGGCAATTTATATACCACATACTTTATCTTGTTTGAAAACATATACCACAGACTTTGGATTCAGCTTTTAATGTTTACTAGTATATTCCCGTGTGTTGCACGAAGTGAAAAAAATTTGATTTATTTGTCTCATTAAAATTTAAGCAAATTGCAAAAGTATATTGCTGCATTTTATTTAAATCAACACTATCAGGTATCTAACTCCAGCTTTTTGTATATGTAGTATATGATAATGACCAATCAAATTAAGATAATCATGTAATACATGAAGAAGAAAAATTTAAAACTTGTGCTTGACATCAAGGTAATAATGAAGATGGCCCAACCTATACTTGTCAAAGTGAAAAAACTCATTTTGCAAAGCATTTTTTATTCTTGCTCCTATTGGAAATAAATGATAAACAATCTATAAATAAAAATGTCAAATAAGTAAGCATGTATATACCATGCATAAATGTGTAGTCAAGCCTTAAAACTACAAACTACAATCAATAGTGTGCTATTTGTAAATCTACACAGTAGACATAAATGCATATCAACTGCATATTGATTTTACATGGATAACAATAAGAAATCTAATATCAAATTGATCATTGATTTGCTTACATCTAACGACTCACATATGTAATAAATAAAAGCCGTTAGATATAAATAATTTCAATGACCAAGATTAAGAGTGTAACTGTAAGACGGATCCAGGAGTAGCCTGTGACGGGGGGTTCACCACCAATAAGTTAAGCTAGAGCAACCACATGAATATCCTAACAATCTTTCTCTTAAGTATGAATGAAATCCAACATTGGTAAT